TCCAAAACCAAGGCGTTCTTTCCCCTGGCGCAGCAATGGATCGCGAAGCCCAGTGCCAGGCAGCCCATCAGTGTGGTGGGCACCCAGAGCCAGTCCCAAGGTGCGACTCCGTGGGGAATTTTGATGACGGGTGGACGGGTGGTTGACAGCACCTGGCAACTTGGTCAACGGACAGTGAAACATCGAGAGTTTCCCAAGGGTTCTTGAATGCTAAAAAAACACATTCAAACATACGCAAACCAAACGGTAAATCCAAAAATCGTCAATTTCACGACAAAGTTTTTGTATTGGATACACTCAAGCTGCTTCACATCTAAAAATGATAGGCTCTTTTAAAATACCCACCTCAGAAGTCTCGATCATGTTCGCATAATCTACGTATATCTACGTTCACCACCAAATCCCATATTACATATAGTATAATCAAATATAGTTCCTCCCAAATGTTCCAACGTATACAGATCCCACGGAAACCTTGAAGATCTTCACCAAATTAAAATCTATATTACCCTCTGAAAACTGCTCCTTGCCACAAATCACCACAAAATCATTCAGGGCGTAGCAATCATGTTTTGCTTATCTTCCCATATCTTCATGAAGAATATCATCCTCCAAAGTTGGTTACTAGATACCCTCTGGTAAACTAACATACAGTAGCTCTGGAAAATCGCCATCCTGAATAGGTAAATATCAACTATACATGGGCCATGTTCAATAGCTATGTTAGTCATAACCAGAGGGTACAAAAAACCATTCACCAGGCTTCACCCGAGGATGACCGAGGGATATGCAATGCCATCTCACACAAATTTCACCAACTGGGTAAACCCGTCATCTTCCCTTGAAATGAAATCACCATTTTTTTGCAGCAGAAAGCAACAAATCTTTGTTTTCACTGCAAAATTGAGTTATTTCAATTTATTTCATACTTCATCACCACAAACGATAGGATAGATTTCATCTAGTCAGTTCAACCAACTTTGCGACTTAGCTCATTGGGGCAACATTATTTTTTAAAAATCTCAATTTCGCCAATCATCAAAAACCATCTGGCTGAATCATGATAATTCACCAACCTGAAAATAACTGAAAAGTTCGGCCATTTGGGGATGCTTCCCCCGATCCAAATCATCATGTGAGGTCATAATGACTCATCCCAAAAAATTGCCCAACATTTTCACAACAAATTACCCACATGTAGGTCAAATATCCTCAAAATTTACCATTCATTACATCGAGATGGGAATCATCGAACTCTCCAGATTCCTCGGCAATCCTCGGCACATAGTAGGGTTCCGACAGATCCAGTGGTGCCCGCGTGGGCGTCATCGTGATGGGCGGCAGTGCTGGATCCAACGTCCGCACCAGCAGTGTGGCCAGCCGCTCGCTGCGGTGCCCATCGTTGGCTTCCGCTCGGCAGAGCCTGACCCGTGGGTGAAACACGCTGGAAAGTGGAAGGTTTAGGGATTGGAATCATTGTTTTTTTTCATTTAATGTCGAGACATAAATGGAAATTGTCATTGATATTTTACACATGTAAATGGGAATGTTGGCATATGGTCATGACTATTTTATCATGTTTTGCATGGATTTTCTGGAAAATGGAACGTCTCATATAGATGGAATTGTGTGAATCAAGACCATGGACACTTCTATTTTAGCCACGAACAATTGGTACTTTACACAAAATAGAAACTGTACCATGTACCCATAACAATTTGCATTTTACCCCAGAAAAGAAACAACGAAAGTAAATGCGTATTTGAACCATAAAAGGCATGGTAGTTATATTGTGTAGCAGGATTCCGGATCACGGTATATAAATCATTTGGAAGCCAGTGATCAACTTTTGAGGTGACTAGGCCCGCTGATTGAAAAATATGAAAATCTGAGTCAGAGACGCTTCGGCAGCCCAAACCCTTTATTTTGCCAAAAAAAATGGTGGATACCCCCGAAGTTGCAATTTGTTCAAGAAAAATGATGATGAACCAATGAACCATGAGTTTTTTCGGCATCCTATCTTAACGTTCTTGGTCTCAATCTTCAAGTTCAGTAAGACTAGATCACCTGATCACTCAAATCTTCAAGCTCTAAGCTTCGCACAGAGTGTACGTGGTGGATGCTTCAAGATTTCCCATCGACAGAGTACAGCCCTGATTGGTGCATGAAGCAGAAGTACTGGGAGCACTGGTGGCCCCTGCTGCTGTCACATTGCCTCAGCGTCAGCGTCTCACCGAAGAGGAAGAATCAACACTTGGCAAGTTTTCTGCAAAATTTCCCGAAATGTGCCCACCGTAAACAAAAAATCAACGAGTGGAAAATTATACTCTCCAAGATAGTTTTTTCCCTTTTCCATTCCAGTGTTCTATGAATTCTCTTGAGTTAGAGCAACCAAAAAAACATGGAGAACAGGTTCCATGAACACAAGTGTACCTTTGAATCGGATTTGACCCCAAAATCATGAACATCTTCTGCATCGGCACAGCGTATACGGGCATCGGCTTCCACCACCGCCAAGATCTGAGCCTCAAAAAGTGCAAATATCCCAAGAAACATCACATCTTATGAGGAGTTTAACCAACAAAACATTTAGATTTGGCAGGATTTTATGGGATGATGTAATGGCAATTTATGGGATTTATATAGATTTATTGGGATGTACCAGCAGCAGTATGATATTTGGGTGTGTCTGTAAAATTATGTAACGGGTTAGTGCACCCTTCAAGTCGACATGTTAAGACAGAAAATTATGATAAACCACTGGGTAGAAATGAGACAAACCAGTATCTAGCAATCTAGCCTGGCAATATGAAAAAAACACGACTGAATAAATACATATTATTAAATATATACAGTATATACAGGACCTTCAAAAACACTTTTTAAAAAAATAAGTTGCAGTCAAAAAATAAAAAAATCGAGAAAAAAAAATGTTCCATGTTGGATTTTCACAAATTTGTCCAAAGCGTGTAGACCTGTATCAAATTTCTGCTTCAACACATGTAGAAACTTCATACTGACAATTTCCGAAATCTGTCAGAGGGAATACACCATCGAAACCCAAGCAACCGTTATCAAACACTATGCATGCGTTCTCCACCAGCCGCAGCTACCTCCTAAGCTGCGAACTTTCCCTTTAACGAGACTGGAGGTAGTCAAAAAGTCACTATTTATATATGCACAGCATGTCAAAAGTCAGTCTTTCAGATGTGAACCCAGCAGACTGACAATAGCTCCGATAATCCGCATTGTTTTTGTTGGGGTCTGGATCCGGCAAGTGTCGGTTCGATCTTGCAAAACGACAAGCGGAGCCTAAAAACTCGACGTCGTAGCCGTCAATTTCCCAGAGGCGAAAAGACCATATTTTGAGTACGAGTTATAGTACTGTATTGTTTGATTATGATTGATTATGGTTTTTATACGGTTGAAATATGTGTTCCCAGAAACCTGTTTTTTTCCATTAGGGATAAATAAGGGTTTAGTACGGCTTAATCTCGCCGAAAATATGGTTGGTTGTGATTTTTTGGGTGCGGACCCTAAAATTCTCATTCAAAATGACTACAAAACGCGATTTTTGATGGAAGTTTCATGCTTTTGCTCATTTTTCTTCGATAATTTTGCTTGAATTTGCACGATTTTGGCTATCCAGAATCAGCTTTTTTCCAATGAAAAACATACGACCATGTTTCAAATTTCTGCCAAGGGGTGGTTCTTGTGATTCTTCAAGTCCTCCAAGGCCAGCGGGGTATCAATAAAGGGCTTTGATTCGTCTAAGGGGACGTATCATGAGATGTCATGACACCAAGTGTGAGAAAAAGTAGTTGTTGTTTTTTTTTTTTACATAGTAAAGAAAAAAGACCATATTGTTTGAGAAAAAAATGTCTTTCTGATAACTAATAAAACGTGTTTTTGGAAAATACCCAAAAATTTGTGGGTTCTTGATACCCTATATTTATTATCTATTTATTTATATATGTATCTATTTATTGCTTTATCTATCATATTTATTTATTTTTCTATTAATCCATCTATTTATATTTATTTATTTATCTATTTACTATTTATATTTGTATTTGTTTATTTATAATTATTTAAAAATAATTAATATGTATTTATATCTATTTTGTTTATTTATATTTATTTATGTGGCCAACAATTGACACATTTCGCATTGCCACTTGTGTCTTTTCCAGGGAGTGGTTCCACGATAGGAAGCTCCAAAATGAGGAAGAAATTGACAAAATCCAAGTCCAAAATCTTGGTGTATGCGATGTATCAAAACCATGCCGCCCCCTTCACCTCAGTATAGTTGGTGCTTATGGATGTTCATCCACAGTTGAAGATGGTATTTCACATGACTTTTCCATCTTCTTGACTACTCCTATCCCAGTCATAGTCAACACCCCAGTTGCATGGTCCCAAATATCTGTAGTACATCCCCTAAACCATGATGTCTTGGGTCTGTTTGATGGAAGGGATTGATTATATGAATTACAAGTTGATTTGGTATTTAGTTCTACACCCTTAAACATGAATAAACCATGATATCCCCATAAATATGGGATATCCCCATAACATGAACATGAACCCATAAATATGGGATATCCCATTAAGTAACCATTTTTCCATGGCTTCCCCTGTCCCCCAGGTCCCCTGACACTGTTGGAGCCCACGGACTCCACACGGAGAGGCAGCATGGTCTCATCTCCTTCCCAACGCAACGCCGCAACGACCAAGGTTGGTACCCGACGTCGTTGATCAAACATCCATTGATGGATGCCTGGATGCCTGTTTTCCGAGTTCATAAAGATCCAATAATTGAAGTTGTTGATAGTTGTTTGCCTGTTTTTCTTGGGACTTCATAGATGTTGAGTATTTGTTTCCCTGTGTTTTTGTTTTTCCCATGAAACATGGTGACATGGTGGTGTTTCAATAGTTATACAATATGATCCCCGCATCAACCGCAAAAAGGTCCGGTCATTCCACTTATGACATCGCCAACGAACATGGCCAGCAAAATCACATGATCCATGAAAGCTTTCCACGAACATGGCCCCAGCAAAAACTAACATGGCCCGTAACATATCATTGAAATGGAATTAGGTGCAGATATATTGTATTATAGTACTATATTTTTATGATACTTATCATAACACCAATAATGTCAATATACAAATACAGTCATATGAACATATTTAATATCCTGGGAAAATGATATTGTATAATTCACTAACCAGAAATAAGGCCAAAAAAGGATCATTCCCCTTATTAATCATAATTCCAGTGAGGTCACGACGTGAGGTCACAGTGAATTCACCCGTGTTTTCGTCCAACGATCTGAGCTCCCAACCAAAGCGTCCGGTGCTCTGTTCCCACACGCAATTGGCTTCGTAGGCAAAGTAGGGACCGTTGCAGTCACAACCTGGAAGGATATGGAGCTTTTATGGCTGTGTCAGTGTCTTAATGGCATATACCTCCAAAGGGCCACTTTAGAGATAGTGGCAACTTTGGCTATACCGTTATGCAACATTGCATTGCAATGCCTTTTTCTGTGGGAAAAGACAGGGGGTCGAGAAATCATATACGTAAGGAACTGCCCATGGCTCATACATGCTCAAGCTGGGATTGCATGGATTTAGATGCAAACATATGCAAACATCACCAATTTCGAATGTTGTTCCTTTCTTGGACTTCCAGCAAACCAGTTCAAAACAAGGCCAAGAATTCAATGACTAACCATGGCCATCCGTGCCGTGCCGCTCCCCATGTCACTGGCACCACTGGCACCTGTGAGACCTGCGGTTCTGTTGGGAAGCTTTACTCCGTAGCGTCCATAGCTGTCGCCACAGTAGCATTTCCCGCGCATCCTGCAGACCATGTTGGACACCGAATCCTGACCCCATGTCCTCCAATCAAAATAACTGAAGCATGAACAACTCCAAGACTAAAATCAAGCTTTCTCGAGGGTGTTTATGAATAGGGGGAACGGATTTACATCCTTCTCTCATCTTTGAGGATGATTTCAGCGCTAAGGCAGTCGCTGAATGCCAAAGTATTGAGATCCAAAGCAAGCATCTGCCTCAGTCGCAATCCACACTGTCAGTTTTTCACTAAGTCTTGAAGCCAACTTTGAACCTCAGAAGTATCGATTCAAATGCATTCAATATGAATTCAAATGCTTAAAGTGCCAGTTTGATTTGTTTTAAACAAACAGTGAAACACACTGAGTCGAGTGCGCAGGACACCTGCCAGGCTTTCAATGCTGTGAAGGAATCTGCTCAGCTGAAAAAAAAACTGCCGTGGCCTGTGTCTGCACACCTTGATACTCCGGCAAATCCTCGGGAGCATCACTGCGCAGCTTGTGGCGTCAACACTCAACACATTGATTGCGGATAGCAAGGTGAGACATGCGAGTGCAAATGCTGCGGAATGCCATGCTGATGACGCTGTCATCGCACGGGCCAAGGAGAGTTTGTTGGTTACACTATTTATAATATCCCTGGATGTCCAATGTGGATGTAGGCATTTCATTCATGTCAAAGTTTAACTACGCATTTCATGAATGTATATGAATGTCGATGTTTATCCTTGAGAGACATGGTGCAGTATGTTTTGTTTTGTTTACTGCTGCTGGGTCTTGATTTCGGATATGTTTCAATAGTCAAACTCATGCGATATCACTTAGAAATACTTTGAATATTTTTGAATCACATTCTATACGGATATTCCAAAAGGGTTTCGGGGTGTTTTCACTGATCGGTGAGTATGTTTGTGAGTTTTTGATCTAGATCCCCTCCAACTCAAGCTTGGAAACAAAGGACACCTTCGGAGAGGTGTCAGAAGAAAGTTAAGTCATGGAATTTGGGTGCGGTTGGCATCAGGATCACCAGACTGGTTAAAAATCAAAAAACAACTCAATATTATATATAATGTATATATAAATATATATATATGTATATAATATTATATAACTGGTTGGTCGTTTTAACCATTTTGAAAAATATTAATCTATCCCGTATATTATGGAAAATAAAAGTCATGTTCCAAACCACCAACCAGATTTATTGATTTTTCCACACCTGCCAGGTGAAGGTTGTTAGATTTTATCACAGTTGTTCTCCTCCTCCGGCTCCTCCTCCTCCTCATCCTCCACCTCCTTCTCCTCCTCCTCCCTCTCCTCCAGCTTCTCCTCCACCACCTTTGCATCCACTCCCATGTTCACTTCCGCCTTGCCAACTCTTCGCCAAGCTCTTCGCCAACTTCCGCACGCAGTGGGCACTGCTGGACCTCAACTGCAAGGGTCTGAGCGCACTGGGCACCGCTGGACCTCAACCTGGGACCTTCCGAGCTCAGTGAGCACCGCTGGACCTCGACCTGGGACCGTCCTGGGACCCTCCGAGCTCAGTGAGCACCGCTGGGCCTCAACCTGGGACCCTCCGAGCTCAGCGAGCACCGCTGGACCTCAACGGCCAGATAGAATGCCAGAACATATGCCAGATAGAACGCCAGATAGAATGTCAGAAAGAATGGCAGAAGATATGCCAGAACATATTGGAGAAGATATGCCAGGTAGAATGCCAGAAGATATGCCAGATAGAATGCCAGAAGGTATGCCAGATAAAGTGCCAGAATGTTTGCCAGATAGAATGCCAGAAGATATGCCAGATAGAATGCCAGAAGGTATGCCAGATAGAATGTCAGATAGACTGCCAGAAGGTATGCCAGAAGATCTGCCAGATAGAGTGCCAGAAGATTTGCCAGTAACAAAACGTATAGATGCCATGGTGGGGACAACTCGAAGTAAAGTGATTTATTTAAATCCGGCAGTTCCCCCTCCATTTTGATCCCTCTCCACCGCTCTCGGGATCCAGGCCCGTGCGGAAAATGAATCTGCATAGCAACCCATCCTCGGTGACGTGAACTTTAAAAGGCCGTCCCACGGTGGATCAATGGTGATTTCATGGTGATTTAACCAGCAAATGGTGATTTAACCAGCAAAAAATATGATGTGACCAGCAAATGGTGATTTAACCGGCAAATGGTGATTTAACCAGCAAACAAATATGATTTGACCAGCAAATGGTGATTTGACACAGCAAAAAAATGTGATTTGACCAGCAAATGGTGATTTAACCAGAAAAAAATGTGATTTGACCAGAAAAAAATGTGATTTGACCAGCAAATGGTGATTTGACCAGCAAATGGTGATTTGACCAGAAAAAAGATTGTGATTTGACCAGCAAATGGTTATTTGACCAGCAAGAAGAACGTCCTGTACAGTCCATCAGCCATAGGACCGTCCCAGAAAGGGCTGGTTTTCTGGCATTCAAGGGCTCCAACTTTGACCCATACATTGTACGAGTATATATGTACTATATATACATATATAGAGGACGGTCAGTGCCCCATTTGGTCACATGTCCAGACGTTTTTGCTATACCTATGTGTTTCGAATTCCCAATCCATGATGGTGTCAATATACCCATTACATGGTCATAGGGGTTAAGTTAATATAATATACCCTTAAGAAAAAAAACTGATCCTTTGATAACCACTACTACTACTACTACTACTACTAGTACTACTACTACTACTACTACTACTACTACTACTACTACTACTCCATGAATCCCCTTAGACGGTCAAATCATGTCAAATCCAAATTCCAGTATGTTCCCATTCATACATGAATACATGTACCCTCTGGTAAATAAACATAGACCCTGATATCACCAATCTTAAGAGGAAACTAATCTTTCAACCCCTATCTGCCAGGGTCTATGTTAATTTACTGGAGGGTAACATATTTGTAAGATCATATCCAATGAGATCACCTTGGCGACCCCCGATGAACCGCTGGGATTGCCCCACAACAGCGGCACGGGGCGTAGCACCGCACGACGCCCGGTGCCAAAGGTTAAAGTCCCGCCGACCACTTTGCAGCGCACCTGGCAGTTTCTTTCGCAGTGAAAAGGTGTGAAACGGTGTAAGAAACCTTCATCTGCCTCAACCTCCAGTAATCAAACATTTCATGTGATTTCAGCCCGATTTGACCATAAAAAATGGGACTAGACTATAACCAACAAAAATGGTGGTATAATGGGGATACGATGTCACAACTGCCCTCCAGCAATCAAACACGGTTAGCTGGGAAATCCCTGAACGAAATGGAGGCTTCAATGGGAAAATCATGGAACTACATAGTGATTTGTTCATTGCCTTGTTTGATTACCGATGAGTTCCGAATGATTGAATGGGAAAAATGGTGTTTAGTTAATTCGTTGACATTAAATGGTCGTGTCAACGAAATCAGTTTCACCCTTCACCAGTGGGATTGAAGGGAAAATGTCCTCAGTAAAAATGTCCCAGTTTTGAATTGTGAAACAATGGACCCTGGGCATCGTCTATTGATCCTAATCAATAGAAACCATAGGTTTTCTATTTGATTTTTTTTTAATCAATAGCTATTGATTTTTTCAATAGAGTGTGTTAAGCAGCTGTTATTGATTTACATGTGCATGGTTCCAGTTGATTTCACTATTGATTTCACTATTGATTTCACTATTGATTCCACCGGCTACTTTTGGCCCAAGTTTTGCAGTTTTTTCATGTCTGACCTCTTGACAAAAGGGGATCGCCAAGGAAAACCTCTTGGCAAAAGGGGCTGTTATGTCTGGCAAAGGGGGAGCTAGACACACTAGCAAACCCCAGGTGGATTCAGGGTTGCTGTTTCGATGTCTGATTCAGCACAAGGACCTGGTTTGCAACTTGGGACCTTATGAGGCCATATCCAAAACACAAGCAGCTAATCCAAAGGGGCTGCTGAAGAACATACCCTTGATAAAAGGGTTGGTGCAATTGGAAAGCACAGGAGAAATCCATGCCAGTTGCATAAGGAATGCAGTATTCCAAATGGTTTTGGAAGACCCAAAATGCAATGATTCCAAATGGAGTGGAGGGGTGTGGACAAACATGAGAGCAGAGAGAATTGGGACCTTACTCTTCCATATCAGAAGGCTCAAGCTGGGGGATGGCCTAAGAAATTGTGCAAGCAAGTTAACTGCTATGGAGCTTTTGTCCATCCAAGAGGTTCTTGAACTCATGGACAGAAAGCTTGAAGTTGAGGAGCCTGCCTTACCCCTTGTCAAAAGGGAAAAGCAAAGAGAAGACTCACCCCTTGCTGAAAGGGATGCAGAGGCCAGTGGCAAACCTGCCAAGAAACTGAAAAAAGAAATTTCTGATGTTTCCCTTGATTCCATGGGTATGCCTAAATGTTTTGGAACACCTTCAGAAAAGGCAAGTCCCAGCCCCTTGGCAAAAGGGGTCAGCAGCCCCCAGGCTGAAGAAGAACCTTCCAGTAGCTCCTTGGCCAAAAAAATGCCTGAAAGAAATTCCTTGCCAAAAGGAAATACTTTGGCCAAAGAAATTGCAGAGCCTTCCTTTCTAAGGAGGAGGGAAGGCAGACTGGCAGCAGCAGCAGCCAGCAGTGCAGGAGAGAAAGCCAATCTGAAAAGTAAATTGGGCATGGTTGCAAAGATGAAAAGGCCAGCTGCTAAGCTTGCCAAAAAAGCAAGTGCCAAAAAAAAACCCTTGAAAAAAGGGCCAGTGACCACCCATGCAGGTGCTTCACCTGCAGCCTTCCCAAGAAAAGTCTGGACCAAACTCCAGGTCACCAAATCCCAGAAAGAACCATGGAGAGCATATATCTGTGGGACCACAGCTGATGATGGCAAGCCCCCCCTCCACTTGATTGTGGAGACCAGGCACAAAAACCATGTACAGTATTTAGAAATTTTGCAGCACATCAAAGACAGGCTGGAGCAGGATCACTTGACAAAAGATGAAGCAGTGCAGCTGAGAAAGGAATGCTATGACACCTGGTGAATATCTCTTGGCAAAAGGGATTGCAAATAGTTTCATGCTACATATGACCTCTTGACAAAAGGGGCTGCTTTTCAGTAAAAGAATTGCACAGATTCACCAGACCTCTTGACAAAAGGGGCTGCATTTTTCCCAAGGGTTGCCCAAACCTCTTGGCAAAAGGGGCTGCACAAAGTTTCACCATACCTCTTGACAAAAGGGGTTAGCCCAAAATCTCTTGGCAAAAGGGATGAACATGACAGCTTAGGTGTGTGTCAAAAAGTGCACTGTTGGCATGGGAAGGGTGGGCAGGTGTGTTGACCCTTAAAGTTTTTTTTGTTGACCCCTAAAGGATTAATGTTTTCAAGGGGGGTAGGTGTTGACATGTTTTGGGGTGGGTGTTTGGTAATGGTAGATACCACATGTCACACACACACACACATGTGCACATGTCACACCTCACCTCCCTGTGTTCATGGGTTGCACATGTGAATGTGTCATGCATGATTGCAGCTTTTGGCACAAATTTTGACTGAAAGGAGACCATTTGCAGGTCTCAATTCCTTGCCCAAAGGAATTTGTGCCTTTGACACTTGGAACTCTTGCCAAAAGGGTCCCATCTGATACAAGTCCTGCTGTTGGATCCCTTGCCAAAAGGGACCCTTTCACCAAACCCAAAGCCTAGGGGTGTTGAGGAAACACCCCTTGTCCAAAGGGGATGGCAGATTGGGATAAATGGGATGGCCAATCCTGGTACAGGAATAACAAGAACAGGCCATCAGGAGTTGGCACAGTGAGCCATGCCAGGAGGGAGAAGATGAGACAGAAGGCCCTGGCCAGAGAAGCAGCTGAAGCCCTTGCCAAAAGGGATCAAAACCAAGCTGCGGCAGATGCAGCAGCACCAGCTGCAGCAGATGCAGCAGCACCAGCTGCAACAAATGCAGCAGCACCAGCTGCAACACCAAGCACCACAGAAAGCTCCACCAGCAGCAGCAGCAGCAGCTCCAGCATGCATGTGGATGCCAAGAGGGCAAAAACAGAGCCTGAGCAATCTCTTGACAAAAGGGATGAGAAAAAAGATGAGAAAAAATATGAGAAAAAAGAGGGAGAAAAAGATGAAAAAAATGTGAAAAAAGAAGATGAATCTCTTGACAAAAGGGATGAGAAGAAAAAGGATCCATCTCTTGGCAAAAGGGGTGTGGCAGATGAGCCACAAGGGTCTGGTGGGGCAAGTTCCTGGAGAACTCCACCAGCCCCACCCCCACCAAAGCCAAGACCCCTTGTCAAAAGGGGAGAGACCATGGACCCAGTGCCAGAACCAGAGCCTGAAGGCACCTGGATCCTGAAGCAGAACAGGAACACCAGAGTAGCTGTGGACTGGCACAATGTGATGGAGGTCAATGATGTGGTCAGCCTCAAGTCCATAGCAGCTGTGCAAGGCTTGCTGGACAATGGCTACCAGGTGTTCATGGTGTGCTTCTGTGGCCCCCACAGACAACATCAGGTGCACCAGAAGGTGAGGAAGTTGCCCCTGGAGTTCACTAGTGTAAAGTACACTAGAGCCAGAACTGGGGCAACAGGAAAAGCAGAATGGTGCCACAAAAATGGCATAGGTCATCTATTTGATGACAATGTTAGCATTTGCAGGGAAGCCTTGTCAAAAGGCATCACAGTCTGGCCCATCAGAACTCGCCATGAGGAGCACAGATGGGTGGACAAGGCCTGGGACTCACTGCACTCTGCAGTGAGCACCTTCCTCATTGATGAGGCCATGAACAGCTAAATCCTTGCCAAAAGGATTTGAAACCTGCAAAGCCCTACTGCCAAAACTCCTTGCCAAAAGGATTTGAAACCTGCAAAGCACCAGCAGCCAACCACCTGCCAAATTCCTTGCCCAAAGGAATCAATGCCACCTGGTAGCTCTATCTCTTGCCAAAAGGGATTGTACAGTTTCAACAGTTGAGCCCATCAGCACAGGGGCTCACTGTTGTTTTTTTTTTTTCCTTTGTGCCATGCCACATGTGGATGTTTTGAAAACAATGTCATGAAACAATTCTATACTTAATGGCATGTTTTAACATCAGCAATCATCAAATCACTTCATCATATGTTTGTTTTTGCAGTTGTCAATGGTGTGGCATGGCTCAAAGTGTTTTTTAAAGCAGGCATGAACCTCTTGACAAAAGGGGCACTGCCATGCCAGCTGAACTTCAAACCTCTTGCCAAAAGGGGTCAGAGCAGACCATGAGGTCTTGAAAAACATAATAGCTGTGGGCATGGGATTGGGTCAAGGCAGGTTGAATGGTTTACCCCCCAATGTCTTGTGGGAAGTTTCTGGCATTTGGTTTGTTTTTTTTGGTTTATATATATATGTGTGTTGAAATCCCTTTGGGCAAGGGTTCAACTCAATCCTTCTGGTGAAAGATTTGGGGGATGTAGGTTGTTTTCTGAGGTGGGTCCATGGAACAAATATGGAAACCCTTGCCAAAAGGGATTCACATCAATAAGGGCCAACATTGAAATGAACATGTATTCAATACTCTTAAATAGTACAATTTATTTCTTGGGTTTGAAAACAATTGAAAAATCCTTGCCAAAAGGATTCTGTGTGTTGGTTCCACATGGTTTTCAACAGTAAATGTTCATTGTTTTATCCATTATGAGTGTGGTTTCACTTAATTTCATCCACAATTGTTCCTTTTGTCAAGGAATACCATGTCAACCACAACCTGAAACAAAAAAATACCTGACAGAAACAAAAAAAATCAAAACAAAATGAGTTTGATCAAATTCAATTTTTTCTGAAAAAATGATCATGAGTGTTGACATGTTTTTTTTGGCATGAAATGTGTTGGTTTTCCATTTGAAATTGTTTTTCATGGTTGTTATTTGTTTTTGTTTCTACCCAGGACATGGTTCCAATGTTGGGTGTGTAGTGTGGTTCCAATGGGGTCCAATGTGTTTGGGTTGACAGCACTTGGTATCTGCAGGCTTTTGGCCCAAAAGGATAATGCCTCCAAAGGCAATGAAAAAGAATCCCTTGCCCAAAGGGAAAGCAAATGTAATGAAGGTGATGAAATCAATGAAAGCCAAACCCTTGCCAAAAGGGTCCAAAAATATGACAGGAAAAGGAACAGGGTCCAGCACAGACAAGAAACCTCTTGCCAAAAGGGGTCAAAGGACTATGAAGCTGAAAAGAGCCAACCTAGCCAAACTGGGGAAGCTCACTTTGGCTGAAAAGGTTCAGAAAGCATCTGAGAATGCAGAGAACCCTGATGAGGCAGCTGCAAACCTAAGAGATATGATGAACAAAAGTGACCACAGCAAAGCATGGTCAAAGCACAACATACATATGAAAAGCAAGACTGCCAAAGAAAAGAAAGACTTTGACAAAAAGTCCAAAGGAGAGAAGGGGCAGGAAGTGGCACTGTACCTTGTGAGGACAAATGTTCCAAGGTTTATGCACTGGAAGGAGTCACTGTCCCATGTGCAAACCCTTGCCAAAAGGGAACAATGGAAAAGTGAAGTGGAACTGGTTGCCCAGTTTGGGAAGGATGAGTTTGATGCCCATGTTGCCAGTGGTCGCATAGAATGGAGAGAAGATCCCTTCACCTGGGGGGTCTTCAACTATAGGGACAAAGGAGATCTGGTCAAGGAGACCAGAGTGCTGAGAGGAAAGGAGTGGAGCAGAGGACAGGAATATGAAGCAGAGGAACAGGATGATGAGGAGTTTGACTACCTCATGGATCTTGACCCCACCACCCAGCTGCAAAGGGCACAAGCCTGGGGCAAAGGGAACAAGTCCTTGACAAAAGGACATGGCAAAAGCAGTGGGTCCAAAGGCCCAGGAAAGACCTTGTCAAAAGGTAAAGGAAAAGGCAGGGCACAGCTGGCCATAGAGGACAAGCAGGGGGAGGATGATGATGAAGAAGAAGAAAAACCTGAGGAAGAGCAATGGAAAGCCTTGCTCTCAAAGGCCAAAAGGGCAAAGGACCAAGCAGCTGCTTTGAAAGCAGACTGCAATGATGCACTGGAGGAAGCTGAGAAGGCAAAGAGGATCACCAAGCAGGGCAAGAAGGACACAGAGGAGATCTTGCAGAAGCTTCAGTGCCAGGAGAAGGTCTTGAAGCAGATCTTGGCCAAGGGGGAACCAGTCCATGAGCCTCAAGAAAGCCAAGGATTGCCTGATTGCAACTGGATCAGCTCTCAAGGCAGTCAAAGATGAGGCAAAAGAATTGAGGCAGCTGGCACACAAAGCTGCCAGCAGAGCATCAAAGAAATAGCTCTTGATAAAAGGGCACTCTGCAGACCTCTTGGCCAAAGGGGAGATTTTGCCTGGAGCTCTTGACAAAAGGGCACAATCCATACCTGTCGCCAAAAGGGAAGATATAGCCTGAAGCTCTTGGCAAAAGGGCACATGGAGAGAAAATCCTTGCTGAAAGGATTTGTACAGTTTTGCAAGCTGTGGAAATCCTTGCCAAAAGGATGAGACAGCAAAGACACAGCACAAAGCTTGTGTGGTGAAAAAGGGCAGCTGCTTCTGGGTGGGTGGTGGTGCAGTTAATCCCTTTCAGTGTTTGGTTTAGTTTGTCAGTTGAACACAGCAGTATAAGGGGTTACCACTGTACAAGTTTTTTTGGTGTTTTCTTTCAAGCTAAGTGCATGCTCACACCTGCAGCCATTTGGCTTATCAGCTTGTCAAAAGGTTAAGCCTTTATTCCTTGTCCAAAGGATACGCCTTTACTTCTTTTCACATGGTTGTGCCAGTACTCCTTGTCAAAAGGTGTTGCTTTTCAGACTCAGTTTATATAACCTCTTGTCCAAAGGGTGGTGCCTGACCTCTTGGCAAAAGAGATTGCAGAATGGCTTCTGGAAGCAGGTGTAAGAGGCAGAGAGGTTGGGAATTGGAAGTAGCAAAGTCCACTCCTTGTCAAAAGGATGAAGAGCAGAATGAGGAAGGAAGCAACCCTTTGTGCCAGAGGCTTTTGCAGCTCTGGAGACAAGGAAGGCTTTCAGCAACCCAGGTGGCTGAGCTGGCCCATTTGGCTATGCTATCAGGCTGCCAACATAAAGACCTGTTAGACTTAGCCAAATGTGGCAGCTTTGGAAGCAATGTCGGTAATTGCCACAGGGACATGACCACCTTGTGCTGCAAGAACATGAGGCTGCCTGAACGAAAAAATGTCAATGTGCCTATGTTTGATTTGAAAACACAGAAGGAAATCACTGGAGAAGCTGCTGTCCTCCTTCCACACCTACTCTTTTCCAACCTCCATGAAAACTATCCTGAAGAATTTGACAGGTTGTTTTGCCCCCATGATTCCTCTGCTTTTTGGCATGGTGTGGAAGGAGCCAAAGACCCAAGGCTTGTTGAACCACTTGCCAAAAGTGGCAAAGTATTGTCCCCTTCCAAGACCATTCCCATCTACACCCATGGTGATGGCTGTGAATTCCATTCAAGAGACAGCCTGATGACTTGGTCATGGGGATGTCTCTTGTGCAAGGACAAAGCTTTGCAATCACACCTTCTTATTTGTGCAATGCCCAAATCATGCAGTTTGCCAACAACTTGGCAGAACATTGACATGTGGCTGGCATGGAGCCTGACTGCCTTGACAAAAGGCATCCATCCCACAAAAGACCCTTGGAACAACCCCTTGCCAGAAGGGGTGCTGAAAGACATGGCAGGCAAACCCTTGACAAAAGGGAACCACAGATGTGCAGTTTGGGCGATTCAAGGGGACCAAGAATTCTATTCAAATGTTTTGAAGTTGGGGCATTGGTCTTCCAAACACCCATGCCATGAATGTGATTGCCAGAAGGCAACCTTTAAGAAAACACCATGTCCACTTGGCAAAAGCTGGAAAATAATCAAGCAGGAAGAGCAGCAATTTGAATACATCAGCCCACAGCAGGCACTCCTTGCCAAAAGGAGCAACCATCCATTATTTACCATCCCAGGGGTCAGCACATCTCTTGTGAGAGGTGATGCCTTGCACATATTGTATTCCAGAGGTGTTGGGGCACACCTTGCAGGGTCTCTTTTGCATTATATTTGCTACTTTGATTGGCCAAAGAGACAGGCAGTCAATCCAAGTAAAAGACTGCAGCTCATCTTTGAGAAAATCAAAGAACAGTACACACTGATGCAGGTCAGTTCAAGGCTCAACAACTTAAGGTTGTCTATGATCACTGAGCCAGACAAGCCTCACAAGGGCTACCCTGTCCTAGAAGCAAAAGCAGCTGAAGTGAAACACTTCTTGCCTTGCTTGCAAAGGATCTTGGCTGATGTTCTTGATGACGATGATGCAGTCCATGTACAAATGATGGATTGCTTGACAGCCTTCAATGAGCTGGTTGCCTTATTTGATAGCATTGGTGCATTTCCCACCCCTGGGGAATTTGATAGGGCTGAAAACCTTGCCAAAAGGTTCTTTGACCAGTATTCAGACTTACACGATTGGGCCTTGACAAAAGGCAGGAAGCTCTTCAACAAAACATTCAAGACTCACACAATGCACCATATGATCAGAAATTCAAAATATCTGAACTTTAGACTTCACCAAAACTATAGAGCAGAGGATTTTGTGGGACAAATATCAGTGATAGGCCATAGCATCAGCTTTGGTAACAAAGCCACAAGGGTTTGTCAAAAACTCAGCCAGAAGTATTTGGTACTTTTGCACCTTCAGCTTTGCAAGCCAGGGTTTGGCCATGCAGCAGAAGATGATTGTGACCCTTGACAAAAGGGATGAGTTCAATACCCTTTGACAAAAAGGGTTGCCCACAAAAACCCTTTGACAAAAAGGGTGGCCTTCAGTACCCTTTGCCAAAAAGGGTGAAATTCTCTAGTTCAGTTTCACCCATCACATCAATGGATGTGCAAACATTTAACCAGCAATGTTGAAAATTGAGCTGGGATTCTATGGGTTCTGCTATTGATTTTTGCCTTAAAAAGCATGCAGTTTTCTATTGATTTTTACATGGGAATTGGTATTGATTCTTGATGCTATCAAATCAAATAAAAATATATGAATTTTCAAGGTTCCATATCAATAAGTTTCAGCCTATTGATTAGGATCAATAGATGATGCCCAGGGGACATTGAGGTGAAATGCCCCTCAATAAGTCTTAATAACTTTGTCTTAATGGTAGAACAAGATGTGAAACCTTGCATTTGGTATGATTTATAGTAACCATCAAGAAAAGATCGGAGTTGCCCTGCAAATCTAAGAAAAGGGGGTAGCAACAAACATGAGGATATCACCTGGTTTTAAAGATATGGGTTTGTCAGTAAGTGGGGTATACAATGGTATGTGTGTCTCAACAATCCCCAAACATACATTTTTGACAGGGAACATGATGAATAAACCTCTTGAATTTTGGGTGCCCTATCTTTGGAGGAAGCCAAATGTCTACATTGAAAATTGTCCAACCTGATCGAGCCATTGAAAGGTGACATACAAATTCCCCATCTGGGTGGATATTTGGGAACTCCTGTTGAGACATAGGCTTTGCCAATTATAAGTTTATGTACATGTTGGGAAATGTTGGGACATTAACAAACAATTGTCTATATCATTTCGTATCATGAGGCATTTTGGATCACATCTGCGCATGCTGTTGAAACGTCTAGGCTCGACGCCTCAAACTCTTCTCCGGCAAATCTGGTGACAAGAATTCCTGCAGCAAAGAAGGGGATGGTCAAAGTTTCCCTGGGGTAATCTGAAATGGCAAAGGACAAGCACATTTTTAGTATATATATATATATATACTGTATATAGATGTTGTTGGTTTTGTTCTTCTGCACACCCTGGCGCCATCTTAATTTTTTGAGGGGTTCTTTATTGGACGCTGTCTCAACTGTCAAGGTCTTGGGCTCACACCATCAACATCAGTTGTCCCATTGTTGTCATCCGCGTAGCCAATGCCCTGAATCCACCAATTGAAACGAAAACTCGGCTCCCAAATGGTCAAAAAAATCCACCTGATACGGAAATACCTTGCTTTCCCGCTAAAAAACCTGAGTCCCACTTTGTTGGACTCGTTGAAGCTCAATAACAATTCTTTGTTGGAGACCCTCTGCTACTCCAATAGAAAGTGGACCCCTCTATCGCCAAGGATCTTTGTACAAAGCTCCATCCAACTCTCCAGGGCCTCAGCGACATCTACCATTGGTTAAGAATGAGATTCCCAAGTCATGGATGATGATCCCCAATTATATTACATTATACTATATTTTGTTTTATTATGTTATACTATTTTGAATAAACTGTAGTATTATATTATGTATTATTAAAATATCATATATTCTCATATATGATATTTGTTTATAATATGTTATTTCACTTTTTATTGTAGTGTAGTATATTATATTATATTGTACTATATTAGATTAGATTATATCATAGTATAGTATAGTATAGTATAGAAAAGGATACTATATGAACATAATATAATATAACATATATACATATCATCAATATAACACATATATATATAGTATGTTGTGGTTTTTCAAAATAGTATCATATAACAAAACCAATACAGTTATATAAAATACTGGAATAGAATAGAATAGAATAGAATAGAATAGAATAGAATAGAATAGAATGGGGTACGAGTAGAATAAAATAGAATAGAATAGAGTAGAATAGAATAGAATAGAATAGAATAAAATAGAATAGAATAGAATAGAATAGAATGGGGTACGAGTAGAATAGAATAGAATAGAATAGAATAGAATAGACGAGCCTAGAATATCATATTACAATATCATATTAGATTATATCATAAGTTCTAAAAAATATAATATCATATTATATCAAATTATATTACAATACATACCATATTGTATCATATTATATTAAATATTATAATATATTAGTGTTTATGTATGTCAGGCATTCAAAAACTTTACCACATCAACAAGCAGGGCTTTGCCAAACCACTGTTCATGTCAGCAGTGGTCAACAATTGAGGCCCTGGACACCCAAACAACAACACCACAGCTGGTCTCGGAACCAGCAAGGCCGATCATCCCATTCACCAACATATATATATATTATATAATATGTGTATATTATATATTATAAATATTATATTATATATATATATGTTTTATATATATATATTATAATATATATATATATATATTATATTATAAATATTATATTATATATATATATATGTTTTATATATATATATTATAATATATATATATTATATATTATAAATATTATATTATATATATATTATATAAATATTATATTATAAATATATTATATATTATATATACATATTATATATATATTATATTTCTTCCATGTTTATCCGAGTTCTGTTTACACAACACCGAAGCACCGATATATTGGTTTATGTAGATAATAAAACATTGGTTTCCCCTGATCTCCGAGTGGGGCTCAGTGACTTGGATCCGAGGTCATAGGAACCTGCCAGCTGATGGATATCAGGAAAAAACAGGGAGATAGTTCATTAATAACATGTTAACATGTCCCATAAATTACTACTGGTTGGTGGTTGACCTACCCCTCTGAAAAATATGAAAGTCAGTTGGGATGATTATTCCCAATTTATGGAAAACATGTTCCAAACCACCAACCAGACTGTTAACATGTCCCATAAATTACTATAGTAATCGAGTAACGTAATACATTAATTTGATGTAATCTTATATAAATTACTAATGTTGATCACATGAACAATCTTGAATATGAGTGTAATTCGCACTCACACATCACAAAAAATAGTAACTACCTGGACCATCCAAATCCTAGGAATTTCACGGGATTCGAGGAAGTGGCCCTTGTTTTGTGCAAACCGATATCAAATTTATCAAAGCTCCTTATTTGACTGAAACTCCTAGACAAATTCATCCAAAACCCAGGACTTGTGGATGTCGCAGGCTGCAAGGCTTCTGCACGACATGTGCATTGAAATTATTTTCAAATTGTGACCTTAAAAAATGTCAATCATTACCTGCGAAACTCCCGCAAAAACATGTCCAACTCCCGCAAAAAGGGTCGAACTTCCACAATTCCCAAAAAGTCATACAATCGAGTTTTCCAGAACACACCGGATCACATCATTGACTGCAAAACATATGACAGATGCAAGGTCAATGAGAAATTCGTTAAAACTCGTCAAAATCTGAACTTTACTTGAAAGCAAGAAATGCTAAGTAGAAATGTCAAGGATGCTCCAGGTAGTGATTTTGTTTGTGATGATTCCCTTACAAACCATCACTATGGGGTCGTTGTGAGGCCACACTTTGCACTCCCCCCATCATAGCCTGCAAGTTTATGCGAATGATGAGCCGCCCAAATGGGATATTGCATAACTCAGGTAATTATATGATCCAATATGATCCAATACTGTCTAATATGTGGGGTTTTCCACATTCATGTCCCGAACATCTTTTCTGTATTTATATATTTTGTAAAAGAGCTTGTTAATGGCTTGCCCACTGGTAATTTTGCAATAAGAAAACATCATTTACCAATTTCCGTTGAAACCATCCATGCCACGTCTTTCAGATTCCCGCAGACCCAGGTGTGCGCAGCCAGGCGCCACGCGGCCGCGCCTGATATGCGGCACAACGGATCTTCGCCATCCACTGCGCCGTCAAGGTCACCCTGGCAGAAATCGATCACCCGTCTGAGTCACCTTGACTTTCAGAATATCCTCAGTTATCTGAATAAAACAAGAGAGTCGGTTACCATCAGAGTGACCATCAGTTCTTTGACCTATTGAGTAACCTTGAAGTGGATTTTTCTGAAAAACAAATCCACTGGTTAATCATCATTTAGTATTGATGGCCCTTTCGGTATACCATATTTTCAGACAAACCCAAGTATCCACAACAGGGTTTCTCCCAACACCCCAGGTATTTGGTAAGGAGGGTATTGTACAGGTTCAAAAATCCCTAAAACAGGGCAAAAGTGAAGATGCTCGGGGTGACAAATGCCATGTTCCATCTAGTTTCCAATCTGTTGAGGGCTTTCAGCTCGCCATGATCCCCCCAGCCAGAACTGCGACAGAGTTTGGAACTTTTTGCCAACTCAGAATGGACACAGCGCCAAGTAGATCTTCACTTGTCCATTCTCGAGCTAAGGCATCACCACAGTTCACCTCGATTTCATAAGCTGAGAGATCACAAAGAGAGACAGACAGCCCTGTTCTGTTCGCTTGTAAGGTTCGAACGTGTTTGTTTTGTATACGGATAAATACGAATAATATGTACATCACCATAATATCCTCTTTAGGGATGGAGCAAATGGGACGATGAAATGGGAGATACACCAATGAAACAACATGTTTTTTCAACTTGAAAACGGGTAAACTGGGAATTAAACCCTTAACATGTCAATGGGGATTTCGCCATAATACTGTTGCATAGGTCTTCCAAAAATCATCAAACATATAAATAAAGATACTGTGGATGTATCCACAAGGGCCTCGGCATGACCCACCGGTTTCTGATTATTCTCCAAAACATTGCAAATTTGGCGGAGACTTGGCATCGTTTTTCGTTCCATCACTTTGAATGCCTCTTCGGTACCAAAGGTAAAGCAAAGGTGTGGTTGTCATTTTTTGATGGGACAACAAAAATCTGGATAGTTTTGGGAAAAATATGTTTTTTTGTTCATTCTTTTCCCAATCAACGGTACCAAAGCTGGTTGCTGCTGAAGAGCCATCCTTCTGACTGCAGACACAGCTGCAATGCGACAAATGGCCGCTGCATCTGAGGCCGAACAAGCCACCTGACGGCGTTGGAATGTACCTGAACCTGCTTGGGGATACAGGTAAGGACCATGGGATTTGAACCCCCAGAAGTTGGGACATAACTACCCCCTATGGCTATGGCCATATCCACTTATACTTGGAACTGCACCCGCAAGTTACAGACCCTGATTTTTCACGCGATCTGCGATTATTCTGTGTCTTGATTCTAGAGCCATACCCCTTTAAACGAGATTAATGGCGGTTTTTACCCCAACTTGTTGGTGCTCGTATTCTGCAGGGTATACCAACTCCTCGCACCTTGCAGAGTGCTTCAGCCCCCGCTCGAAGGGTGGCCTCAGAAGCCTTGCCATGGGAAGAGCGTTGAAGCAGCTGCAGCATGTCCTTCCCAGTCTTCGATGCCCAGCAGTTTTGGGGAACTTCTTTGAGCTTAAAGGAAAGCCACATTTTGGCCTGGGTTAAGAGTTGATAGCAGCAACGTTGAACTCAGTGAATTACATCTATCTTGACTGGCTTATATAGTTAGAACCAGTATGTCGCAAGAAAACGAGCTGCATTAAGGTACTCACCCAGGGTTGACGCAGTTGATGGTGTAAATATGGTTCAATGGTTGTGGTAGAGGCAGCAACTGTTGTGAGCATAGAATCAGTGACAGAAGGTGAATATGCTGCCATGAAAAAAGTGCAATCAATGACTAAAGGAGCTCCCAGCTGCAGGGGGTGCTCTAGCTGAAGAAATCTGCGGTAGCTACCATCCCAAAAACAGGCTTGAAACATCGCGGAAACATTGATTATTCTGGCTAGTAAGACCCCATTCAGGGAGTTATCCCATCTATAAATGGTATATTAATTATGGTTCGTAACCACTTGCCGATTGTTGAACATAGCTATGGAAGCCATGGCCCATAAAATTAGATGATTACAATGATGATGTACCAACGGTGATTTTCCAACCAATGAAATTTAAAGTCGCTGTTGGTTTTAGTTTCACAGTCTGGAATCTGGATTCTCAGCATCTCAAATGAAGGGGCTCATGGCTGAAACACCAATACGCCTGAGTAAACAATTTTGAAGCAGGAAAACATATTGACATCATTTCCTTTACAGGGAAACCGAGTATCCATTTAATCTATTTCGCGCAGAAAAGAACAAATGGTACTCTGGTGGTAAGATGGTCTATATTGCTGCTCTTTATGGGAATGTCTCTGAGCAATATCTGTGAGGGTCTTAAGTTTGACCCAGAGCCCACATCTATCTCCCGATCTTGTGATGCACGCAACCATTCGTACTTTGAATCCCGGAACCTTTTCTGGCAAATCCAAGCAATTTGGTAGCCAAGCTATCTAATCAATTAATGAACTGTTGGTGGTTTCAACCCATCCCCAAAAACTAGATTAGAGACAATCATCCAATTTCTAGGGTCCAAAGTTATATAACATACTGAATTTGAGTCTATGTGAATCCACAAACCAGTTTGAATATCTAACATTGTCAAGAAAACATGGGTAAAGAAGAACAGTAAAGAACCTAATCATGGTGAATGCAACTGCGGTCAGTGGTCACATGCCACCCACTAAACATGTTGGCTACACGGGTTGCATTCTCACGTTTACTTCTCATCTTGGCTATATATATTCTCTGGCCAAGTTGTAATTCACTAACCTGAAAAAAACTGAAAAGTTCGGCCATTTGGGGATGATTCCCCTTGCATTCACGACATGGGGTCGTTAGAGTGTATCTGGATCCCCAATGTAGTCATGGTTGTGCCTATTGTATCCCTATGATATGCCTATTATATCCCTATTTTATCATGATATATCCATGATATACCAATTACCAACCCAGCGAGCGTGCACAAAGGATTTGCCGGCACATGGACTAGTCTCTACTGTAGTCCCCAATGTAAAGAGTAATAGTACAGGAAAAAAAAACGGAAAAAATGCAAAAAAAACAATAAAACAACCATCATTTATCAAATCCTCATGTGTTCTATTGTTAACTATCACCGCTATGAATGATGGTTAAATCCTCATTTAATGGCACTTAGTGACAATACTCCACTACTGAAAACTGTGACACAAATATATGCATTGTTCAAATCTTAAAAAAATGATAATCATCATATCCAGAATCTGCAAAACTGTTTGAATGATTATGATTATTGTTGTTAAAAGTTCCCTTGATATCCCATTACATTGTGTAATAATCACCCAGCATCGACAGGGGTTAACTAACTTATCAACTGTAGATGTTGCAGTACTGGGACATGGACTGTTCCACACATCTCACCGCAACTCCATAAATATAAGCACTACTATTCGAATCATAATCATAAAATCCTAGTTTAAAAGAATGAACAATTGTATACTATTATTTCAATTATATTCTTTCAAGTCTAACCAACAAACTTTATGAACAGCACAACTGTTTCAATGATTGTATTTTTGGCTACGTTCCCAAGATATCCACTTGTTTTACTGTTCCATCTATTTCTATCTTCTGGGGGATTGCTATATATGCAACTAACGCATCACGGATATAATATCGATAATAAGATATCGTACTATTGACATTGTATAGAATATTCCAAGTAATAATCCTCATCCTAATTACTTAACATATCAACATATCTAGTTGAATAAGATCCTAATGAAATCTAATTAATCCATCATATTGTTCAATATTGTAATTTACAATATTTACTCAATCCTCATTAATTAACCAGTAAGTATAATTCAAACAATTCTCATCCAAACCAGTTTAATCAACGTGATAAATGAACTGATTAACATTAACATGAATTATATGAGTATTATTCAATTATTTATCCCCAATGAATCCACCATTCAAATTCATAATCCTCATCCAACTAATCAACCAACCAGTCAACGATTATACCTAACCACTTATATGAATAAACCATCTGGTGGATCAATATGGATTAATATTGAACCATATATGGTGGTTGGTTGGCTAATCCAAGTTATGTCTATAACTAACCAACCACCCGGTGGTTCGATCTCCTCCTCGGTGAGCTTGGAGGTCAGCGGCACGTGCATGGCGCAGCGCTGGGGCGCCAGGAGCCACGGGGCCAGCAGCTCCAGATGCTTTGTGGTGCAAATCTGGGGCCGTGGGTTGGTGGATGGAGGATCAATGCTATATTAAATATGGCTACCTACACCCTCCAAATACCCAGCAAAAATGGTAAAAAATAACACAATTCGGATGGGAAACAACAATAAATATGACATATACAAACTGAGTTGAATCCTCTATAGATGATGTGTAGATATTATATATATATATATATTTCCAAAAACAGCACTTTGATGGATATGCGAAATGCATGTTAAATGGCTTGAAAATTGGGTATAACCCAAAATGGCCATTTGAATTGGGAACATAGTGAAAAACATCATTTTTTTTCTGGGGAGGCTATGTTCAGACACACATATATATATACATTGAGAACAATTATATAAGTTTATTTTAATAACAACAATAGCTAGTGTTATCAGTATGACTAGCACTTCCCCAAATGACTAGAAACAAATAGACATGATTCGTCACATACACGTCGCTAATTCAACATTGCTATGGAAAATATTCATGCTGAAAAATGTAAATCGTTTAATCATGTCCCACCACATTTATGCCATAGCAAACAGTAAACAACATAAAATAATGGTCATTCCCGTTCATAAATCTTCATTCTTGTTGAAAAAACCAGGAATGACGATGAAATCACCACACTTACCACAGGGAAAAGTCCCCCAAAAAGGAGAGACACGTGTTTCCCGAATGGTAGTTCAATGATATTTCCGCCAAATGTTTCGGGTAACGAAAGGGTATTTTCGGCAACTTCGATTACCATCAATTAGCCATTAAAAATACACCTAACCCATGCCATCTCATTGTACTAGTTGGTTGAAACCGGTTTCCCTAATATGGGTTAGTTCACAATCCCCAATATAGGTAACATCCAATAGCCAGGTAGTATAACTCCTGACAATCCGCCACCCTGCCGGCGTGTCTGATTGGAAGGTGTTGTTCTTGTTTCTGTTCTTGGTTTGTACTTGTTTCTGTTCTTGGCTTGTACTTGTTCCTTTGTTCTCTTGCCGCGCATTTTTGCTTCGTCTGAATCAAAGTCACCCCGCCATTACATGTACTAGCACTATGTTCTAGCACTAGTACTAGTAGTAGTAGTAGTAGTAGTAGTAGTAGTAGTATCAGTAGTATCAGTAGTAGTAGTAATAGTAGTAATAGTAGTAGTAGTAGAAGTAGAAGTAGTAGTAGTAGCAGCAGTAGTAGTAATAGTAGTAGTAGTAGCAGCAGTAGCAGTAGTAGTAGTACTGCTACTACTGCTACTACTGCCACTACTGCTACTACTGCTACTACTACTCCTGCTACTACTACTACTACCACCACTACTACTACTACTACTACGACTACTACTACCACTCCTACTCCCATTCCTACGCCTACTCCGACGCCTACTCCGACTTCGACTCCTCAGAAGCTTTTACACACAGAAGCTTTTACACACAGAAGCTTTTACACACAAAAGCTTTTACACACAGACACTTTTACACACAGGCGCTTTTACACACAGAAGCTTTTACACACAGAAGCTTTTACACACAGAGGCTTTCCCGGGTTCCGTCCAAAAAGCTCTCCCCGAACAGAGTGAAGGATTTTTGGTGTTTTTTTACACACAGAAGCTTTTACACACAGAAGCTTTTACACACAAAAGCTTTTACACACAAAAGCTTTTACACGCAGAAGCTTTTACACACAGAGGCTTTTACACACAGAAGCTATTACACACAGAAGCTTTTACACACAAAAGCTTTTACACACAAAAGCTTTTACAGGCGGAAGCTTTTACACACAGAATCTTTTATACACAGAAGCTTTTACTCACAGACACTTTTTACACACAGAACCTTTTACTGTACACACAGACGCTTTTACACGCAGAAGATTTTACACACAGAAGCTTATGGCCGGCGGGCTTGCCGAAGGCAATCAAACAAGCAATTCAACAACGGTACTAGCAACCCCAAAATAGAAAAGTAGGAATTTGGAAATATGTATCTGTGTATCAAATATATATATATATAAATAACCTCCTGGAAACACAACTTTTGGCATCTTTGGTGGTTGTGGTGAAGCCGCGATGCTACCCTTCGCCAAGGGACGATCAAACACAGCGCCTCCGCAGCCAAGGGATCCAGCGCCGCCGAGCGAAATTGCCGCCGTCGCTCCTGCAGTGTATCCAGCTCGGAGCGCAGAACGTACGTCACGCAGGTCTCGGAACCTGCAGGGTACACGGTGTTAATAGGTATTTTACAAGCAAGAATTGTGAGTTAATGAGATTTCATGGGATTTAAAATGAAAATTTGGTTTGGTAAGTTGGGTTCAAACGAACATTTCACTAGGGGTTGTGGTCGAGATACCCTGATATATCCATGGTTTATAGGGGTTTATAAACCAACAAACATGTTGGTGGCTCCATTTAGACAACTGGGATGTATTCGGATAGAGACCAGTTTCTAACCACTAAGCAAATTGTGGCAACACGTAAGTAGGACTAATTAAGTAGAATCCATGGGTTCCACATGGATTTGTCTGAGACTTATGGGTAACCGATGGTTTGGAAAATCAATTCTTCAAATCAACTGGCCAATTCGGAGCATCCTCCATGTTCAAACAAACCAATATGATAGATACAATTTAGAAACATATGCAGACTAGACAATTCACCACCATGCATTTTTATACACATCAATGTTTCTTGAAAAATGAAAACATCACATATGTGTTTCTGTGTTTCATGCTATATCCTCACACACATGGAAATTTACTCCATCTTCCATCCAATCTTAGATTCCTTCATCCGATGGTTTCCTAATATTTATCGTTAAAAATAACATGACTTCCCAACATGTCACAGATTCAACCCCCATTTTTACTGATGAGATCCCACCGAAGGTCAACATGGATCACCTCTCCGAAAAAAAAAATCCAACAGTTTCCAGATTGCTTTACCAAAAAAAACTATATGGGTTTATGGGCTTATTGCATCTTATTGCATTCAGAAATTGGAACTTCCAATCAACCTTAGGTTTATATCCTCTAGCTCGGCAGTTAAATCAAATCCCGTTCAATGGCTAAATCCCCAACACGGACCACCTTCCGTTCGTCATTTTTCTTTACCAATTTCTTTAAAAGGAAACCCTAAGAGTTAATAGTTTACACATCTTTACACCCCAATCACTTATAGTGAGCCCATGATACCGCGAGTTTTGGATGGCACCAATTTCCCACCTTTAACCAAATAAACCGTCAGTGTGGTAGTTCAATCCCCACTACTAGATACGCAAGTGCTGCTAAATGTTCATCCGGTTTTCCCATTAGTGTACCTCCATGTTCTCCTCTTCCAAGTCGTTTTACCCCTCATCTATAGCTATAACAGCAGCATTTTCCATCCATGCATTAACCTTCCATCTTTCCCACCTTCCAAGTTGTGTTCTCAATGTCGTTAGTCCAAGTTATATCCATCAATTTTGATGGCTAAATATCCTTATATAATATTGTCCCAGCTCCCAAGTAGATTTGGCCATAATCTATAGTTATAGCATGTTATAGCAGCAAATTTTGATGGTTTATAAAGTTTATACCGTCCATGTTTCACCAATTTTCGCAGCAGGTTAGTAGGCTTAGTCCTGCTATAACTGGGCTTGCAGCCCACTTACTAACTGGGGTGAACCACATTTTTTCCACCTTTTAACTTGGGGGTTGCTATAAATACATACTTGTAACATCAACATTGTCCATCCATCATCCATCCATTTTATATCTTCCTCATAATGTGTTCAATCTCTAACCTCTTCCCTCCTTCCCAGCAGATTTCACCATCGTCACTAGTACCAGTAGTACCGCACAAGGCGGTGGCGGAAGTTTCAAAGATAAGACACAGGAGAGGTGAGTTGATGTGATGCACGGGTCGCATGGACCGAAAGGTGGTTGGAGTTGTGTTTTTTGGAGTGGTTGCAATGGTTGCAATGGTCACCTCACCCACAACTGCTGGATGTAGTGTGGTGTAGCGCAGTTGTAGTTGTAGTTATAGTTGCAGCTGTAGCATAGCGTAATGGAGTTGTAATTGTAATGTAGTGTAATTAGTGTAGTGTAGTTGAAGTTGCAGTTGTAGTTGCAGTTGTAGTTGTGGTGTGGTGTAATTAGTGTAGTGTGATGTAGTGTAGTGTAGTGTAGTGTAGTGTAGCGTAGTGTAGCGTAGTGTAGTGTAGCGTAGTGTAGCGTAGCTAACTGTAGCATAGTATAGTGTAGTGTACTCCAATGTAGTGTGGGGTAGTGTATTTGTAGTTGAAGTTTGAGCTGTAAGTGTAGTTTTAGTGTAGTGTAACTAGTGTAGTTGTAGTTGTAGGGAAGTGTAGTGTAATTAGTGTAGTGTAGTGTAGTGTAGTGTTGCGTAATGTGGTGTAGTTGTAGTTGTAGTTGTAGTTGTAGTTGTAGTTGTAGTTGTAGTTGTAGTTGTAGTCTAGTTAGTGTAGTGTATATAATGTAATGCAATTTAGTTCTGGTTGTAGTTGTAGCTGTAGCTGTAGTTCAAGTTGTAGTTCTAGTGTAAGTAGTGTAGTGTACTGTAATTAGTGTAGTCTAGTTTAGTTTGCGTAGTGTAGTGTCATTAGTGTAATGTAGCGTAGTATATTTACATGAGTATTTGTAGTTGTAGTATTAGTGTTGCGTAGTGTAGTGGTAGTGGTAGTGGTAGTGGTAGTGGTAGTTGTCTATCTATCTATCTGCAAGCTTGAAAACGAAGCTATTCTGCGAGAATTTCGAACTGGACAACATCAAAAACACAGCAATTCTGCGAGACTTCCTCAATTTCCGAAGTTGACAACATGAAAAACGGAGCCATTCTACGAGATTTCCTTCAAAAATGCAAAGTTGAATGCAGAGCTGACAGCCTCGTACCAATGCGTGTTGCGATTTTTCCAGTCCATGTGTCCAAAATATTGCGCCTGCCATGAAAAAGTGATGCCAGGTCATACGAAGTGCTGCACCTGTCACGCAAAATCATCTTAGCAAACCTAAAGATCTGATGCACCAAAACGTAACCCCTCTCTGGAAATCAGCGTCCTGACCTACTAACATCCCTGATGAACATGTCTCTTGTATTGCGCCTGCCCGCCAAATGCATCTTTGCAGATCCTCTTCAAATCTCCCACGGCTGCCATCGTTTTTGGAAATGCTACAAAACCCTCACGTCTTGCTCACTTTTGAGAAGGTGCACAATCCCTTGCGCCTGCCACGCGAAACGACATCTTAACGTGGTCCCAACCCCTGGTGTTTTTAACATTTTGACTTTGAAATGTGCTTCGCGCCACAACGGCGTGCACTTTTTCGACATCTCAACTTCCAAAAGTGGTCCGAGGCTGAAGTGCTTTGCACATTTTGACTTGGAAATGTGCTTCGCGCCACAACGGCGTGCAATTTTTCGACATCTCAACTTCCAAAAGTGCTCCGAGAATGGTGTGCTTTGTACATTTGACTTGGAAATGTGCTTCGCGCCACAACGGCGTGCAATTTTTCGACATCTCAACTTCCAAAAGTGCTCCGAGAATGGTGTGCTTTGTACATTTGACTTGGAAATGTGCTTCGCGCCACAATGGCGTGCAATTTTTCATCTCTCATCTGGCCAGATGGCTCCGCACCCGCTGCTTTAGCGAGCCTTCTTTTCGACCCTCCGGAGACACAAATCATTGGAAAAAACACATTGTTTCGCGACTTTTCTACCTTTTCGCGCACCTGCATCTTTCTTGTCACCTTTCTCTTCCTGATCTTCTCTCTTCTTCTCCTCTCTTCTCTGACTCTTCCCACCTCTGCTTTTCCATCTGTCCATATTGTCGGAAGTTTGACTTCTAAACTTCCTTCGATTATATTGCCAAACATGTTCCCTAAAGATTCCCGACATTTTCCCAACATCTTCGCAAACACTTTCCCAACATCTTCCCGACATCTTCTCAACATCTTCCCAACATGTTCTCAACATGTTCCCATCATCTTACCAAACATTCTTCCAAACATGTTACCAAACATTTTCCAGCATCTTTCCAGCATCTTCCCAACATCACATCTTCTCAACATGTTCACAACATCTTCCCAACATCTTCTCAACATGTTCCCAACACCTTCACAAACATTTTCCCAACATCTCTTCCACCTTCCAAATTATCCTTCTCCATCTTCGGCACCAAATTTTCCATTTCCTCCAGTAACACAGCGCTGGGCGCGCAATGCCGCGCCGCCGCCAGCAGCTGTGCCGTGCGCTTCTCTGCCGCGCCCACGCGCGAGGCCAACAGATCTGCCGGGGAGGCCACAAAGAGGTGCCAGTGCCTGGGGGAGAACACAACAAATGTGCATGGAGGATTATATATAATGGAGTATATCTATATGTTTATATCGATATATACCTATGTATATATATATATATATAATATGATCTTTTCAACCACCAATCCGAGGTCACTTAAGCCCAATTTTACGGTCACTTAACTAACCACCTCAAAAGGATCACTTTGAAGGATATCAGTTTTTGGAAAAACATGTCGGGTTTCTAAAAGAAAAAGCGCACTTGTTTGGACTTTTCGGAGAATATGTGGGATGTTCAAATCCCACAAATGTGCATGATTTTTTTTTCTGGATTTCGATGGGGAACATCGGGTTTCAAGATGATTAACACATCGGTATGAACAAGCAAAAATTGGGGACTACTTTCTTTTTGATTAGCAACCATTGGGACTTAGCCATGAAAATTACATTCAAAAATGTGGATAAAATCATGGCTTAGAAATGCACGGATACACCACATTCCACCAAGACTTCCGGCACTGGCTGACTTCAAGTTTGGGCGCAGTGAAAAACAACAATCCCAGGAGTAAACTGACATAGATGTGGGAAACCCATGGTTTCCCTAAATGATCTACAAATGGTGTGTTTGATGTGTTTTCCACATCTAAGTTAGTTTACAGGAGGGTAGCTTGTGAATTTTCGGTGACTCCAATGCCCATTGGTGCAACAATGGCCTTAAAATGGCTACACCACTTGGAGACCCAAGTTTAACTGTTGCGAAATCTCTATCAATTTGGGGCCCTTGTGTTTTGGCATCTTGGATGGGCGGATAACCATTAAATTGGAAGCCCTGTATCAATGGCTTCGTCCAAAACTGGGGGACATTCCATACTTGGCACTGTTAAACAGAAAAAACAAAAAATAACCAGCCATGAAAAATGTGCGGTTTTCTTAAATCATTGGAGCATACTCAAATCCGAGAGTGTCTGAAAATGTGACATACCCCTAATTGATTTATAACTGTCATCACTAAGGTGACCTTTCCCCCCCAGTGATCTTTTTTGGTTTATAACCCCCGTCAGCACCATCTCCGAGCTGCAGTTCTGCGACCAGCTGCCGCGCCACAAAGCTTTTGCCACTGCCGGGCTGACCACTGAGCAACCTGGCCATGGGTAGGTGGATAGACACATGGATAGTGCTGGATTGAGGTAGGACAACCAGGAGATTTGAAGCCGCCAGAGAGTTTGATTTGCTTGTCTTTGGAACCCCAAGAATGAACACATCTTCCCAGTAGTACTGCCCAGTAGATGTCCCATGTTTGGTGAATCCTGGAAAACAAGGCTGGGAATTCCCCGAACTAGCCATGGGCAATGAATTCGTCATCGAAGTTCCTTTGCCATGTTTGAGGACAGCAGAGGGTATCCAAAAAGTTCCAGAGGACCCTCCAAAGACCACCCCAAAATGGTCGAAGTACTAAAACTTATGGGGTATAGTCCACCTTTTTTGTTGGGCTACAGTCCCTCCATGTCCCTCCCTCCGGGCCAAGTCCGGTAGAGGTTTCACATGTTTCACCATGTTTCACCAGGCAACAAAAGCAGAGGTGGATCCAAGGTGGAAAAGTTCAGTTGCTGCCAAGACTTCAAAGGCTTCACCACCTCCTCGCGCAGTCTCCGCACAGCCTCCGCCTGCCCAATGATCTCTTCCAAGCCAAGCCCAGCTTCGGTGGCTCGTTGCTGTTCGGCTGCGCGCATGGGAGTGGGATTCATGGCGCTTCGGGCTTTCCTCGCTGACATTTTTGCGCGCGGGTAAGCATCTTAAGTGGGGATGGAGGATGGGGAAGTAAACAATTGGCGACCAGAAACCTGGTATTCATGAAAATCAGGATGTTCGCACGACCACATGCCTCCCACGAAATCATATTTCAATATATGTCACCCATACCGGGACCCGTTATCAATGGGAACAACAGCTTAGAGAATTGCCTGGGGTAAAGTATGGTTTTAGATAGGCACAAACTCTGCAAAAGACCAGATCTTTCGTGGCACCTGTGATGAACCTTACCAACAACTTGCAAGAACCATATCCATATCCTTGTTAAATGCAACGTGAAATAACTAATAACTAATAACTGTTTGAAATTACCCACACCCAGGTAAACAACTGAAAACTAGTTTGTAGCTAGGGTATTTAATGTTGTTTAAAGAAAATATAACCGAAAAAGATGGACCGAAGCAACTCTGCTATCTTCTTGTGCGGGCAGCAAATCAATATAATATATCATATATATATATATTTAAAAACAACAATATGTATACATATATATATATGTATAACTTTCCGATCTTTTGAGGGACCCCAACATATCACCAACGTATATTATATTGCAACTCTTCACACACGTATCACCATGTCACTAATCACCACAACATACTAATATATCACATATTGTTAATCAACATATAGCCAACATAACATGAATCACCCTATCACTAAAGTACTACTATTTCTATATTAGTTACTATATATAATATTCAGTTTCTGGGAAATATCACAAGAATCTATGTAACAACACCAGTTTCACCATAACTTAAAACAGAGACATATCTAGATACAATCATTATAACTTGCAAGTTCACTTGTGTTTGTAATCATCATCTCGACATGGCACGGAAGGTATCCAGTAATCGCATATATCATCATATTGACACTGCCGCTAAATCACAAACTAGTGAAACGATTCGAACCACCATATGGGCGCTAACTAGAAATCACCATATGGATCTAATTGTCACCGTTAAACAATATTCAAATCTAGCAAAAGTCACTTACATGCAACATCACCAACTAATATAACAATTATAACAACATATAACAACCAAAAACTCACCACCTCGCCACCTCGCTTCTGGAAATGTTCCTTCTTCACTTGCACCTCACAGCCCGCATTTTGGGCCGCACGCACAGCCAGCAACGCAGCTGAACGACAGAGGGCCACCAGGTCGCAGGGTAGGAAGCCACCAGTGAACTCTGCCAGCCACAGCAACAGATCATCATTCAGATTCAAATGACGGGAACAGACTCCTGGCAGACAGAAAGATTATATGACTTAAATGGCTAGTGACTAGAATAGCAAAGAGGCATGTGTATGTATTATTAGATCTGCCGTTCGATATGAATATTCTGAAGAACATTTTATCTAGATAGATCGACAGGTAGGTAGATACATAGATAGATAGATTGATTGATAGATAGATAGATAGATAAATAGATAGATAGATAGATAGAAAGAGAGATAGATAGATAGATAGATAGATAGATAGATAGATAGATAGATAGATAGGTAGATAGATAGATAGATAGATAGAGAGAAAGAAAGAAAGAAAGAAAGATAGATAGATAGATAGATAGATGGAGAGAAAGATAGATAGATAGATAGATAGATAGATAGATAGATAGATAGATAGATAGATAGATAGATAGATAGATGGAGAGAAAGATAGAGATAGAGATAGAGATAGAGATAGAGATAGAGATAGATAGGGATAGAGATAGAGATAGAGAGGTAGAGATAGAGAGATAGAGAGATAGAGAGATAGAGAGATAGAGAGATAGACAAATAGAGAGATAGAGAGATAGAGAGATAGAGAGATAGAGAGATAGAGAGGTAGAGAGGTAGATAGATAGAGATAGAGATAGAGATAGAGATAGAGACAGAGACAGAGACAGAGATAGAGATAGAGACAGAGACAGAGACAGAGATAGAGATAGAGATAGGGATAGGGATAGGGATAGAGATAGATAGATAGACAGATAGATAGACAGACAGATAGATAGATAGATACATGCAGATGGAGATGCAAATGGACCAATACCCATCACTATAGGGAGAATCAAACTACTGTAAATAAACTGCCCTTTGTTCCGAGAATGGGTCAAATATGTTTGTTGACACATCAAAATGTTTGGCTTTTGTTGAGGCTCTATATGGATACTGAAAAATCAACATAACCTCATTGAAAGCACTAGCAAGGCGCTGAGCACTTCTTCCCGCTGCTTGATGTTCAAGGGTATGGGCAAGGTGATGCTGGCTTCCACAGCCCTAGGTCCACAAATCATCACAGGCTCCGTCATCAGAGAAGTCCAGGGGACCAACAGCAGCACGGGTAAAGAGTGGAGGTGCCAGAGGTGCAACTCCCACAACAAGCGATCTGCAAGTACCTCCGTGCTGGGTGATCCAATGGCTAAATTTGGAAATTGAATCAATATGAATCAATATGGAGGCTTCCTAAAATGGGGGTACCCCAAAATGGATGATTTGGGGTAATCCCATTTCAGGAAACCTCCATATCTCATTTGGTCTCCAATGTCTGATAGTTTGGTCTTATAGTTTGTTGATTCTGGGGATGATTTCCAGCATACAAAGAAAACATCTTCCATGGTGAGTTTGGTGTGACCCACCCACACGTGATGCTTCAATAAATCTGAGTTATGATCTGGAACCCAAGCACGGAGCTTTGGATCAACACAAATTTGATCAATGTTTTCAACAAAGATCTGGAAACTTTCAGGGGAATCAACCATGTTTTCCCGTTTTCCCTGTCAGGTGAAAGAGGTGACATGCAAAGTTGTTTTCCCGCCAAAGACTCAAAACCAGTCCCGGAATCATGATCCGAGGGAAAACAAGTGCCGCAAACACAATCATTTTCATGATCTCCTATGTGAATTTTCGTCCATCCATGTTTTTTTCCCGCCTGTCGCAGATCCAGATCTTCCTTCTCGTCATTGGACTCCCAGCGGGGCCCCAGGGTTTCAGCACCTTCCAAGATCAACACTTCCAGGGAAATGGACTCACCTGACACGACATCACGATGTTTCCGCCCCCGCTGCGTGGCCAGCTGCAAAGCTGCCTGGAATGCCTCAATGCCACGAGGGCCTTCTGCAGCATCCGCGTGCAGAGTAGGAACCTGCTTCAAGCCTCGAAAAATATACGGACGAACTCCGCCAACACCAAGTCCCCGAAAACAAAATGATTAAATACGTTTTAAAAAATAAAAATAAACATGTGTATATATATATATATATATATATTGAATACCCAAAAGCCTCAAAGAACAGAGTTTAAAATATCCAATGGTCTGGGCCTATGAAAATGTACCCAACTGTCTTTCTTTCATGAGCAACATGCTTTGAACTTATCCTGGCAAGAGACCCCAAACAGTGTGGGGAAGTGGGAAGATAATGTATGACAATGTGGTTGATGATGATGATGATGATGATGATGATGATGATGATGTTAATGGTAAGGATGATGAAGACGACCCCGATGATGATGACGACGGTTATGATGGTGAAGGTGGTGATGATGGTGAGGATGAGGATGACGATGGTGAAAATGATGATGATGATGATGATGATGATGATGATGATGATGATGATGATGATGATGATGATGATTATGGTTATGATGATGATGATGACGATGACGATGATGATGATCATGATGGTGAGGATGGTGATGGTGGTGGTGAGGGTGGTGATGATGATGATGATGGTGATGATGATGAGGATGAGGATGATGAGGATGATAATGCGGAAGGTAAAGTGGAGGATGAAAAGGTGCAGGATGATGATGTAGAGAAGGAGGCAGATGATGATGTTGAGGGGGAAGACATTGAGGAGGAAGACCGATCCCAAGACCGGGACCCACACTTTGTGCGACCCTGCGCAGTCGAAATGCACATCAACATTTCACAAGAGCCACTTTATACAAAAAATGACAGGAAAAATGCTGCAGACCAGAGTGAGCCCAGAACGCAGACACACACTTTGTGCGAGCCTGCGCAGTCGAAATGCACTTCAACATTCCACAAGAGCCACTTTATACAAAAAATACAGGTAAAAGGCCGCAGACCAGAGTGAGCACCCTGATCAAGCAACGGCCTTTACAGCTACCGTAACAACCCAGCAGTGTGGACAGACTGTTTGGCGAAAAACACAATGTTGAAGAGGAAGATGATGATGAGGATCAATGATGATTCTGATGACGATGATGGTGAGGATGACCATGATGTTGATGATGAGGATGGTGGTTACGATGATGAGAAGATGATGATGATGATGATGGTGATGATGTTGATAATGAAAATGATGATGATGATGATGATGATGATGATGACGATGACGATGATGGTGATGGTGATGGTGATGGTGATTATGTTGATAATGAAAATGATGATGATGATGATGATGATGTGGATGATGTGGATTATGTTGATAATGATGGTGACGGCGAGGATGATGATGAGGGTGAGGAAGAGCATGATCGGCCCAGAACCTAGGACCACGCTTCGTGCGAGCCTGCACGGTCGAAATGCATGTCAACATTTCACAAGAGCCACTTTGTACACGAATTTAAAGGTAAAATGCCGCAGACCAAACGCGCGGCACACACTTTGTGCGACCCTGCGCAGTCGAAATGCACATCAACATTTCACAAGAGCCACTTTATACAAAAAATGACAGGAAAAATGCTGCAGACCAGAGTGGGCCCAGAACGCAGACACACACTTTGTGCGAGCCTGCGCAGTCGAAATGCACTTCAACATTTCACAAGAGCCACTTTATATTGAAATTTACAGGTAAAAAGGCCGCAGACCAGAGTGAGCACCCTGATCAAGCAACGACCTTTACAGCAACCGTAACAACCCAGCAGTGTGGACAGACTGTTTGGCGAAAAACACGATGTTGAAGAGGAAGATGATGATGAGGATCAATGATGATTCTGATGACGATGATGGTGAGGATGGCCATCATGATGAGGATGATGATGATGATGATGATGATGGTGGTGGTGATGATGATGATGATGATGCGGATTATGTTGATAATGATGATGACGGCGAGGATGATGATGAGGGTGAGGAAGAGCATGATCGGCCCAGAACCTAGGACCACGATTTGTGCGAGCTTGCGCAGTCGAAAAGCACTTCAACGTTTCACGAGAGCCACTTTATACAAGAATTTACGGGTAAAATGCTGCAGACCAGAAGCTAGGGCCACACTTTGTGCGAGCCCCCGCAATCGAAATGCACTTCAACATTTCATGAGAGCTACTTTATACGGAAATTTACAGGTAAAATGCTGCAGACCAGAAGCTAGGGCCACACTTTGTGCGAGCCTGCGCAGTCGAAATGCATGTCAACATTTGACAAGAGCCACTATATACGGAAAATTGCAAGTAAAATGCTCGAGACCAGAGTGAGCACCCTGATCAAGCACCGGCCTTTACTCCTACCGTAAGAACCCCTCAGTGTGGGCACACTGTTTGGGGAAATAGTATTTGAGCAAAATACATGTGTAATCATGTGTATATATACAATATTATAAATAGAAATATGCATGTATATACTGTGTATAAAGAAGACAAGGCTCTAAGTGACTTCCAAAGTCTAACCTTTTGGGATAGCTACCACTTACTAAGCATTATTCATTATTCCAGTGACGTCGCGACGTGAGGTCGTTATAGTTTATCCAAACATGTGCCCATGGTATCATACAATGTGTCTACTTTAATGCTTATTGGCTTATTGGACATAATTGGTTATAATTGGTTATATATGGTTTTATGATCAACAGTATCCATATACTGTAACCGAGACTCAACTGACCCCTCTTTTGGATGGTTCACCGATCATGTGGGTCATGTGGGTTCAGGGTATCCATCCATGACAGGGCACTCTGATGACTCACCACTGCAGCGAATTCCTGCGCCAAATGCGACTTTCCAGAGCCAGGAGGTCCGCGCAGCAAGAAACCGCGGGCCGCGTGCGGTGTCTCCGATGTCTCCTGTCCCGGGGAAGCCGCACAGAAGGGTGGTGCAAAACCTTGGCCACAAGACTACCTTGATCATCCCAGGGATCGTAACTGGTTAAGAACCCTGGTTGGTACGTCCCGGAGCTAGGGTTATCCCATACCTGGACAATCCACAAGTGACCTTTTTTGGACAATATGCATGTGGCCAAAAATGGCCAACCCCTTTTTTCGGAGTGTGACTCAACACTTTTGAATCCATGTCATACAGCATTTTGCTTGATTTCCATATTTTCCATGTGTCTATATGTATTTAGGCCGAGGGTTAGGTCGACGCTCAAGGAGCAAAGGGCTCCGCACACTAGTGGCTCTCGGTTGGAAAAGCCATGGGTATACTCCTGAGGTTTTGATTTTCTACTTTGATTTTCTACAAGTTTCTTCAAAATGAACAACATGGGGACTGGCCATGATCAAACAATTCATGTCAAAACACAGATCCTCTAGCTTTGCCTCACAAGAAAGCATTTTCTTCCAATGGTCCAAGACCAAAACAAAAAGGCATGTGTCTCTTGCATGGCAAGCCATGAAACTCCATGAAACCTTTGGATTGGCAAAAACGGAAAGGCAAGATGTGGTGAGCACGGTGAGCACCTCTCACAAAAGGAACGGGCCCCATGATAATAAACGCACCAAGGCACCAATCACCTTAAACTCCTGGACTCAGACTCAAACCAAGGAAATGTGTAATCTGGGGAGTTCCGCCCATTTCCCCCCAGTTTTTTCCACCCATCTCCCGGGCAATTCCGCCCAGTTCAATTGCATAATTACGCACTAAAATACGAGATAATTTGCAGATTTCCGAGTTGACTGTTAAATTATAGCCGCGCAGGCAATTCCGGCTAGTTGTGAAGTAATCAAGGGTCAATAGGCAGTGGACAGCCGGGGCTGGCATTCATTAAGGGTTTCTGAGGATTTGCAATGCTGCGTTTATTGTCTACCTGACAGGCAATCACAGGTTCCCAAGATGAAAGGTAAGATCCATCTTCCTAAGTCAATGAAGGCAAGGGACCACACAAAAATCCATCAAAACCAGTCAATATCAGGTTCTGTCAAGATCGTTTGGTTTCCGCCCATTGTGTGCAAGTTCCGCCCAATTGTCCATTCTGCGCTAGTTGTCAGAAAAAAAGTGCCATAGTGCAATTTCCAGATGTGTATATATAATTATTAATATGTATATATATATGTAAATCTGTTTTCCCTCTATTATAAGTCAAGGGTTTAGAGCAACCAGTTCCTTTTTTGTTGAGAGGGGGTCCACCAGGGCCAGCTTTTGCAGTGACCTGGCCATTTGTCGTGGTTCTGCTGTTTCTTACACAAAAGGCATTTGTGTGAGTGATAGTTCTATAGCCATGTGAGTCTTTCGACCCTCAAGATACTGTACCCCGACAAAACACGTCAAGAGCACCGCAACACACCGCAAAAAATGGGGTAAAGCACTGTCCAATGTTTAATGAATTGAATTATTTGAGTTGGGTCTCTAGATGGCTCTACATACAGAGTGGTGCCCCCTAGTTGTAGTTGATTTACAGGCCCCATGGACTGTAGATGCCATAAACTAACATCCATAACACATATTATAGTGAAGCTAGAAATAAACCAACTTAGCTGCGCTATCACAAAGCACATCTCAATGCCCATTACCAATGATACATTCCAGCATGTTTGTTTATTAACTATGGTTGAACGCGGGCACAACCTTGTTTCAACATTTCACAAACCCCGCCCTCTCCAGGATGTCATGTGCCGCAAGAAGCAAGGCATCCAGAGGCCGGTCAAAGCCGCCCACTTGACGTTGGAGCTTCCTGTGTAGCTTTGTCATCCCAAAGAGGGGGATGTTAGGGGATTGAACACATGGCTATGAGGTTGTTATATAATTAATATATAGTATATAAGCAGAATATAGACAAACAACTATAATTATGATATTAGCACATATTAGATGCTTTGAAAAAACCAAGGTACCCGGAAGACTGGGCTTCAATTCACCACAGAAAATATGATTTAACGTATTTAACAAGAAAAGTTGGAGTTCACCAACAAACATTGGGATATTTGGTATCCCAACTTGCAGAGACCAGCAAACATCGGGATTCCCCCGACAAATTCATATTCAAAACACAAAGCTGGTGTTGACTTCTCCGCTAACGCTGCTGGCTCTTTATCTTTGCTCTCATAGAGAATGGTGGCTTATACCTGAACCAACATCTATCTACCAACACGCAAGCAATGCAAATGGGAATTGTTTCACGCTTTTTTGTGGGTAATGATAAGCTATAAGCATCTATAAGCCATACACATGAGAGATACACCAACACTAATTGGGTGACGTGACGTTAGGAGATCACCGGCAGTGAATCGATGTTTAACCTCTAGAATTGGTGGCCATCAGCACTGATGGATACTTTATCATGATCATTATGGATTGCATGATAGATAAACCTTGAAAAACCTGGCATTTCATGTTGTGACGATTTTGGAATTTGATGGTTGTGATCATTTCATGGTGGCGTTGCCGCCGTCACCTCATACCGGTTAGAGTAGGGTTGGTCCGTTGGAATGTCCTGGAGGATTGTCTTGGATGGCCTACTGTACAAAAAAAAATGCTGCAGATGATTTTCTTTTTCGACAGTGTGCCTCCCACGAACCTGGTTTCATTGGGTTCACGATGATTTGAGCTTCGACAAGTCGAACATGTTTTGCTCAAACAATGGAGAGTCAAATCATGACCAACACCGGATGGTTTGACAGTGCATCATGACACTATGACAACTATGAAGACTGCACAACTGATTTCGTGTAAGAAGAGATATTCGGTCGTGGCAAGTCCTAAATCAACGTAAAGTTACGGTGAATCGTCCCAATTTGGGGCGTTCAAATCCACATTTTGCTGCCGTCCGTTACATGTTGCTGAAAGGTTCCCTCATGTTTGGTTGATTTAATCCCAATTCCAGCGAGGTGATCCCATACCCATTCATTACTGGTTTTAAGTTAATGTCCCTACCATTGCGATTATGGTTGTGATGTCAACAGAAATCTACAAAAGATGTCAACAAACATCCTGAGTTGATAATTGTTTTCAGTCAACAACCATTGTTTGGCGAAATTTCAAATTGAATCCCACTAGTCCCATCACCAACAACAAACGGCTTGGGAACAAGCCAATTTTTGGGATGATTATCCTTGAAAATATGTTCAAATTCCAATCAGTTTGGTGAGGTCGTTCTGGTGTCTATACAGTTTCCCAGATCCACATCCCAATGATGATTAAACTTATCATAAATCATCCCAATAATCATCAAAAAGTAAAAACATCCCCGACATCCCCTACCAATTTTCACCATCTCAACATTCCCAGTAATCAATGGTGCTGGAACATCGCCATTTGAGAGATGATTTTCCAATTACATTCATGAACAGGGGATTTCCCAGCTAGCCATGTTTGACAACCGGAGGGTAACCAGTATATACAGTAGTATATATATATTATATATATATAAACATGTCCGCTGCAACCCCTAGGTTTGCCCGCGGAAAATTCCCCATATCCTTTGACATGCTCAAATCATGTCACAGGTTTTAGTTTTTTACTTTCCAAAACAACAAACACCAAAACCCTAAAACCTGAAACCCTAAAGCCTAAATTAAAACCCTAAATCCTGAAAACTTAAAGTCAAAATCACTGCGTATAGCCAGTGTTTTCATTGATCCTCTGGTGATAAGTATATCATATTGTTTGGATGTGTTGTTTGAGTGTGGGCGAAGCAGGGGGTTGCGGGGAACATGTCATTCAGTACCCGCCAACACGCCAAAAGGGCTCCTTCTCCAATCCTCCAGCGCGCCACGTAGCTTTCCAGAAGTCACGCGTTCCATGATATTCCATGGCCCGGCAACTATTGATGTTTTCCTATTCACCTAGGGATTCGGTAGATTCAATCATACAGTCAGTTGCCTATCATCCAGATTTTGGGGCATCCAAATTGAACTTGTCTAATCCTGATCTTTGAATTCATAAACCCGTTGATCAAGTAGATTCAGGGGGTTATCCCTTAAACACATGATACATGGTTTTGAAAACAAAAACTCCACAATTCAAATTATTTATCCAGGGTCAAGTCAGTCACTAGTAACGCATCGTAACGCATCCCATTACACAATGACTTGATCAAGTGATTCCTGTGGCACTTTGGTAAGTCCATGAGTTGTGGAAACACTATGTAACTATGTATAGTACTTCCCAAAAAAGATAGCACTATATTTGAACCTGATTTAACAATATTTAACCATACTCTATTTTCTTGGCGGATGGATTTGCCGCAAATCGTTTTGCTGCAGTTTTGCTGCAGATTCAGCACCTTAACAAAGGATTCAGCCAGACAAGATCGGACACCGAAGTTCTGCGAAACTGCCAGGGTTTGGGGGGTCCCCAGTTTGGAGAAACACCCCATCCCTTCATATCCCTTCTGTGAGTTTCAAGCCATGCCAATAATCTCCGTAAATCCATGTTTCCGTCCTGATCATCTATATGAGAATGATGTAATTTTATGTAATCTATACTTTGGATGGATGTTGTTAAGATATATAATCATCTCAAATAGCAGGAGAAAATCCACCTCGGAATCTGTGTTCTTCGCACCTGAGGATGCCAAAGAACTCCGGGTGTGGCGTGGCCCCCGCAATCTGCAGCAGGGGACAATCCAAACTACAGCCCTTCTCTTTCGGCGTCTCAGGACCGTTCTCACAGTTCTCCAAGGCCTCCAATGAATTCCCAAGAGATTTCCAGTCAAAAAGGGTTTCCTAAAATGGGGGTACCCCTAAATCCTCCATTTGTTATAGGATTTTCCATTCTAAACCATCCATTTTTGGGTATCCCCATGACTTTAGAAATGGATCTTCCATATATAAACCATCCAGCGATTGGGGTACCCCCGATTAATGGAAACCACCAGAAGGTCGCTCCGTCAGCCACTGTTGATCCGGAAGAAAAAACTCTCAAGCTATGAGTAAAATCCTTCGACTAAAGCACATTCCCCATTTATGATATAATATGTATGTAATGTAATGTAATGTATGTATGTCTGTCTGTGTGTAAGTCTGTATGTATGTATGTGTGGATGTATGCATGCATGCATGTATGCATGCATGGATGTTTATGTATGTGTTATGTATGTTTATGTATGTGTATGTATCTTTACGTATGTTTATGTATGTTTATGTACGTTTATGTACGTTTATGTACGTTTATGTACGTTTATGTACGTTTATGTACGTTTATGTATGTTTATGTATGTTTATGTGTGTTTATGTATGTTTATGTATGTTTATGTATGTGTATGTATTTTTACGTATGTTTATGTATGTTTATGTACGTTTATGTACGTTTATGTACGTTTATGTACGTTTATGTACGTTCATGTACGTTTATGTACGTTTATGTACGTTTATGTACGTTTATGTACGTTTATGTATGTTTATGTATGTTTATGTGTGTTTATGTATGTTTATGTATGTTTATGTATGTTTATGTTGTTTATGTATGATTATGTTGTTTATGTATGTTTATGTATGATTCTGTATGATTATGCATGATTATGTATGATTGTGTATGATTATGTATGATTGTGTATGATTCTGTATCATTATCTATGACTATGTATGATTATGTTTGATGATATATGATTATGTATAATTATGTATGATTATGTTTGATTATGTATAATTATGTATGATTATGAACGATTATGTATGATTTTGTATGTTTATGTATGATTTTTGTGTATGATTATGTATGATTATGTATGTACCCATAGGATCCATGTATGGTATATATGCTAACATTTGGGGTATATTGATGGTAAATGTTACCATATATAGCATACATGGATCCTATGGGGTATGATTATGCCTGCGGACCGAAAACCGTGCTCGTAAAACGCACGTTTTGGGGGTGGGGTGGGGGGGGGGGCATGTCAACGTTCCTTGTCCTTCGTGCATTATAATGTGCTACGCTGCAAAGATCTGTGGGATCGTTGCTACGTTACTTGTTTCTTTGCTACGTTACTTTTCGTTGCAGCGATGACGGTGAAAAGCCACAAAACGCGCTTCATTTTTTTCCAGGTTTTCAAATCATCAAATCAGCACGGCACTGTGGTAAAATCACCATTTTTGGACACAATGTGCACGCCGATGAGCACGGTTTCCGGTCCGGCGGGATGATTATGTATGTAGGTAAGTAGGTATGTAGGTATGTAGGTATGTAGGTATGGAAGTAAGTAAGTAAGTAAGTAAGCAAGTAAGTGAGTAAGTATGTAAGTAAATGAGTAAATGAGTAAGTGAGTAAGTGAGTAAGTGAGTAAGTGGGTAAGTAAGCAAGTAAACAAAGTAAGTAAACAAAGTAAGTACTGTATGTAAGTATGTAAGTAAGTAAATAGGTATGCAGGTAGGTAGGTATGTCTAGTTATGTCTATATGGGTCTATGTATGTCTATGTATGTCTATGCATCTCTATGTATGTCTATGTCTATGTCTATGTCTTAGCCATGACCTTCGCAGGCCTGCGGATAGTTCTCATCATCGTAGCAATTCACCGTTCTGCGGCTGATCCCATCACCACAGGCGTAAGTCCCCCCCAGTGGCTCGCACTCTTGCCATGGGCCCACGGACAGACGGAATTCCGTGGGTGGCCCAAAGAGACCTGAGATCATTGGAAAACCATCGGGATCATCATGGATCATCATGGATCAACATCCTGTTTCTATTTTTGAACATGATAACTGCTTTAATAAACCGCCAAACGAATTGCGAAATCGTGTCAAAAGCTCATGGCCTACGTCTCTTAATGCAGGTCTGAAATTGTCTGAATATCGGACATAGGGTTTACCCCTCGCAAAAAAAAATAAAACTCATGATAAACCACTGTACTTTGGAGTAAGCCATGTTTGGGCAAGCCCATATTGATGCAAAAAGAACTGAAGTCTTCGTCAGAGGGAGCATTATGGAGCATTTCCATCCACACTCAAGTAGCACAGTGATGTCATGGCCCCAAGGGCCTATAGAAACAAACTGCCGTTCAAACCAAAAATTTAGAGATTGCCATTTCAATGGGAAAACAATGATCAACCATGAACGAAATGTGGGGTGTTTTAAAGTGGTTTCCAATGTTTGGGCCGAACCCTTTGGGGCACCCCTCTGGAAATCTATGTCGACCCCAAAACTGAGGCATCGACCCACTTCTGCCACGTGGACCTTGTAGACCGTTCCTCCAGCGCCAAAAGTCTCGTGAAAGTACAGGCGCCAGTACTGGAAGGCCGAGGATCCTTCAGGCAGATTGAACCTGAAGCCACGATCCATTGGTGGTTTGGAGTCCCAAGATTCATGATTTTGAGGGAGTCCCAACTGCCAACCCCAAACCACCACGCCTTGGAAAATTGGCTGATTTCTGGTCAAAATATGTCAACATATGAAGCACGGAAGCATCCTGATGTTCTGGGTCGGGCGGGGCACACACAAATCTTGCGTCAATGCTGAGCACGTAAAAATTGCTTTCTGACACCAGTTTACCTCCATTATGTACAAATCGAACAGTAACTTTGCCACTTCTTGAGACTTGTGAGACTTTTTGAATTGGAATTGAGTTTTCTCATCTTTTTTGTTGGGTTGCTACATATATATATATAACATCCAATCATTTCCAAAGTTTTCGTATTATGTTTTACAATTTTTGGTGGTACTTGGAGGTCTAAGAACTGGGTTTGTCTGAAAATATGATAGCCGTAAATCCATTGATTTATCAATGTTTGGGGGTATACCACATTTTAAACATCACCATGTTTAAGAGGTACATCATCCACAGATGAGCCATGTTCATCCATTTTCATCCATTTTACACAGCTATGTTTAGATTCCTAGGTCCTAGAGGGTAAGCCGATAGAACCACTTCTGACTGCTGTACGGCCTTCTGGTCTCACCGGAAGACCACACAGATCCCACACTGAAGGGTTGGCGCAGCTGCAGCCAACTTCGCCCGGAGATTTCCTTGGGCTGATCTGGGATATAGTATAATCGTGTAAATGTATATAAATGTGGTCCCCCAAACGATAGCTAAGTTAGGCTAAGTTGGTGCAAATAACTCCAATAACTATGGTTTATGATAACTAATAGTTAGTTGATGGGGTTTATACACCAACTTTTAACTGGGCCCCGCATTGTATAAATGGTACTGGTAATATGGTTGGGTCAAAACCCTGTCACCCAAGGTACCCAATGTCATAGGTAGTATAGCTAGATGATTATTCCCCCCAAATATGGTTATACTAGGTTTTGACCCATCCCGATATGATGGCAATATCATCGGAATATCACCTAGGAATATCACCCATTCCAATGTGGTACCCCCCCACCGGTGATGTTTGTTGGTTTATAATCCTCATGAAGTATACATATAACCACCATAAACTCTATAGTTAAACAGTTATTGGAGTTAGAAACTCACTTAGCTAACTATGGGGAAACCTCCTGTAGGGATAGTAAAATGCACTATTAAACACACGAATAATGGTACTGATACTGTAGTAATAAAAAATGAATGATACTGATACTGTTGTAAAAACATTAGATAGTAAGAGGTACTATTGTAATAAACATCGTCAAACGAGAAATGGAGCAAAATAAACAATATCGGTGAATATATACATATATATATATATGAAATAATTATGCATAATGTATATACATATGATTGATTGTAACAGTCCTATATAATATAAACGTCCTGGAACAAGTAGTACATTTGTCTAGGTGATTCGGCAAATCATTACTAATTTTGGAGAAAAACACAAGGGCCCTCCCCTCCGTAAAAAAGTGAATAGAAATTACATATTCTGACAGTAGACTTCTAATTTCTAGTGGAGCAGTTCTCAAAACCCTGTGTCATCCGTACTATTTTATCCTGGTTGAGAACCCGATTCCCCTCATGGATTGTGATATAGGTGGCTATCCCAAAAATATAGGTGATTATCCCAAAAATATGTGATATTCGGCGATTATCCCCCCAAAAAAAATGGTTAGGATATGTTAGGATAATCCCCGAACTACTCATCAACAGGGGTAGATCGGCAGCCCAAGACGCAGGCCCTTGGTTGGTGGCCTGCAAGGAGATGATCGAAGGTCCTGCGCTGAGGATTGGGGAGGGAAAGTCAGGCTTGGTACAATTCGAATGCGGAAAATGATGATAGGCCATGATAGGCCATAGGTATTTTAAGGAAACATTAGGAAACCCTGTTTTCACACAAAGCCGCCAATTTTTTGAAACTACTGTTCAGAGTGTGTTCCCCAAACAATCGAAGGACCTGACACGGAAACTGATGTTACACATGGCTTTAAAGGACAATATGGAGGTTTACTAAAATGGCGGCACCCCTAAATCATCCATTTAGTAGGATGTTCCCTTTCAAATCATCCATTTTGAAGGATACCCCCCCATTTACGAAAACCCCATGTTTGGGGATGTTTTTTGGGGGAAACAAATTCACAGCACCTGCGGTCCCGTCCAGGTCGGTCCTTCTTGTAAGTGGCAAACTGTACACACACCCGAGGTGATGGTGAATTTTTCCAGCGTGCGCACCTGGCAAGCTGGAAACTGGCAAGGGATCAAGGCTCAAGGCGATTCCCAATTTCTCGCCCATGTTTGGGCTTTTTTAGATGCGAAACCTTTGGATTTGGGGTTAGTAAAAAAAAACACAAAGATATCAAGAAAAGGGCTGTTCAAGCAGTTTCGACCTATCACATCAGGTTAGCATGGGTCGTATCCCACTAAATTGGCAATATGAAACCATGAGGTTGGCAAAGTAGTTGATAAGGTAGTTGAGGCGCCCCCAAAACTATGGAAGTTTGGATCATCGTCCCAATATTCTGTCGACCTCTCCACCAAAAAGAGCGTCACTTCAAAAAAACATCAAAATGAGTCTACTTAGTCTACCACTCAAAAAAAAAACTATGGTGTGAAGTGCAAATGAACCAAAGTCCAAATATCAATATATCAGTCCCATATATATATATACTATATATATATACTATATATATATACTAACTATCTATCTATCTATCTATCTATCTATCTATATAATATACTATATATATAGTTGTTTTTTCATGTTTTTTCTAGGTTCCCCTATAGTTCCCTTCGATTCCTTCAAACCATCCCCTTCCGATACGCGCTTTTCGTGCTGCCCAAAACCGTCGCACCGTCGCCTTGCCCAGGTCGTACTCGAGCCACTGGGGAGGTGGAGCCCCGGATGTCCATGCCTCACCGCGCGGATCGAGCCATGGCAGATGACCATTTGTTGCGGGGAATTTAGGCCAAGGATAAGAAAATGTGGATATATATATATATGTATAATATATATATATATATTTTTATCATTGAAACATATTGTGCCCAAGCTTGACCATAACTCAGTAGATTTCGCCTCCTACAGCATGGGTTCTAATCAGCTGAATTCTAAAGGGATATGCATCTGGTTGGTAGTTCAAGATGTTTTCACCGGCGCCAATCAATCGACAACATCAATGTGTCCATTGGGGTTCATGATCCCAAGTAAGTGTGGAAAATACAAAACCAAACTAGCATAACTTGGATGTATTTGAGGGGCCATCAAGAAATTGACTATGTTGATCAAATGTATAGATGTATATTGTAGATAACGTATCAGCTGTGTATATATAATATATATAATATGTATAGATATTCTCCGTAGATTCCATAGTTGATTAAGCAATGTGAAATTAGTCCATTGCCTGTCTGAAACTGCGGGGGCGGCCCAGATTTCATGGCAATAAAATGCACCCCACATTAAACTGACCGTTTTGGGGTAGACAGGGATACAGATATCCTATTTCCAGACAACCCACAACATGTTGTTTATTTTGCAGTAAATACTGTATTGCCTATGATTTTCCCTACTCTACTTATATCGTACCCATACATACTTATCAATTATGTCAATTGTACATCATGTTATATGTTCAATTCAATGGAAAATCCCACTGTGGATACCCATCATGTCCGACCCATTTTGTTGATTGTACTTCCCATTGTGTCTCACACATCCACTATGTACCCAGTATGTTCACTAGAAGTTCAAACCCATGTGAGCAGTGTTCAAAACCCTCTATCATTGTATCATCATTTGTTGTCCTTTTTTACTGGTTGATTGATAGGGATTCTCAATTTATGGGACATGTCATAATCCCCAATGAACCAGGTATATGGATTAAATACTTCCTCCAATCATTCGCAAAACATCATGTGTCCATCATATCCTCATGTAGGCTTAAATGGCTTAAAACCCCATTAAAAACCCATAAAAGTATATAGAAGTGATATACAATAAAAAAAATATGTACGTGTATATATATATATATTCATACCATACATTACATCACATTCCATTCCATTCCATTCCATTCCACTCCATATCATACCATACATATATATATATATATATATATATTTATATATATATTTATATATATATACACCATGTAGAATTTGTACAGTCTAAGTGATGCGATCCGATCCCATGATCCCATGCCCCGTCCAACTGACCATGGCTGGCTGCTGAAAGCACGGCTCCGTCCAAGGCCACAATACAGCCCAGGTCAGCGGTGGCGCTGCTGGAAGCCGTGCAGCTGGCACCACAGGCCAAGCCGCCCTCCCGGGCCCGGGAAACGCCACGCCACGTGGCGAAAATCAGAAAGCCCCTGGTATTTTTACCGGTAATCTATGAATCTATGGTTAATTTCATGGGATTTCACCATCAACTATGGGATCAACTATGGGATTTAATGGGACGTGATGATAGTTACCCTTTGGTTATGTCAAAATAGCTTTTTAAAAAAATGGCCATAGTAAATAATTGATTTTCCCATTAAAAATGGTGATTTTCCATAGTTATGTTAGTTTACCAGAGGGATCCAGACTCCAGAGGGATGGAAACCTTCTTTTTTTTGAACAATGGTCGATTTCTTTGGTACCATCAAATGCTGTTGCCAATTTACGGTCTACAGTCAAATGCTTATGATATATCGATATATGATGGTAAAGTATGGATTGTCCATGGTGCTGGCCAACTGAGAAAGATATGACGGTAATAATTTATGATATCTTATCATGATTTATATCTGGGGAACAATGAACGCACCGCCAGGTGGTCATGGCTTCCTCATGCTCACCTGACTCCTGCCTCGCACGCACAAATTCCAGTTCCACAAATTCGGGAACGGGCGGGAGGCTCTCCGGTGGTACACCGGTTGTCGCTGTAGCTCACACCATCGCTTCCTTTACAAGTCACCTGAGCGCAGAGGCACTGGGTTGGTTTTTGGGTGGGTTCAGAGATGGAGGTTGAAGCACATGGACCAACGGAGGGCAACACAAATGGAGAATGTACAAATTGGCCTCATCTAGCTTGCTCATAAAGAAATGGACATAAGAAATCATTAAGAATCAACCGGCGGAATCTATGCAAACGTAGAATAAAACAATACTGGTCTAACTTGGGCATTGGATTACAAACACCCCAGACTAAACCATCAAACCGACAGTGACACCGGCAGTGCAACATGTTCAGCTCTCAGGTCACAGGGGGATGGGATTCGTTTTTTCGGCCAAAAATCACTTGGGGCCTCATCAATTTCCATCGTTTTCCACGTTGCCCCCATTTTGAGACAAACCCACATTGCATTAATGAGATGCATGTTGAATATAAATAGTTCCAACCCCCGAAACAATGTTGGGGTTCCATAACTGGGGGTTACCCCAAAATGTTTATGGTACCCGCATTTTAGGAAACCTCCATATATAAATTAGCAATTTTAAAAAGGCTGGGGGACACACCATGATTCTGCCCTTAGCATCGCCAAGCCACGTTCCTATCTTGGGTGCCACCACCACAGGTGACGGAGCACGGGTTCCAGTCCGACAGCTCAAAGGTGTAGCCCATTTTGGGCATCAACTGGAGCTCCGCGATGGCCAGTTGCGTACCTGGCAACGGCTACGCTGCGGTGGTTGGCATTCCCTTAAAACGACTAAAGGCAGCCCCAAACAAAAGATGGCAAGACTATGCAAGACTTAGATTCCCAATGATTCCTGGTAATGGAGATCATTTTTCAGTCGGAGATGTCTGTATGCTGTTGATATTTTTCAGCCACGAGCTAAATATCCCAGGCTTGGTGTGGACCAGGATCATTGCCAGCTTCAAATTCACATGCCACAGCTGCCACGGCCATGGTCAATCTTGGATACCCCCCATTTCTGGCAACACAAATAACCCATCATTCACCAAGATTTACTTGTCATTTTATAGCATACAGTACATCACGGGATCAACATATATATATATATATTATACGTGTACATATATATATATATTGTTATAGATGTTATATATATATATATATTGCATTATTTATATATATATATATATGTTATATGTATATATATATATATATCATATTAAACATGTTATATATAAGATAAATATATATATATACAATTTTATACAATATTATATATATATTATATTGTATTATATATATACGCATTTTATATAATATATATATATTTTTTTTCTTAGGGTCTAAAAAACGGCTCATTGCGGAAAACACCGCGCTGAGCCTAGGCCCTGAAGCATCGTCAGTTGATAACTCCTCCAGGAGGTCAGACCTGCATCTAAGCCGTTTTGAGATGAGCAACATCTATGGTAAAATCTCATCTGGTTGAGGTAGGGGTAACTTCATCTAACAACTGACAAACACTTCAACACTCTCTGGTTGCTGGTTTTAACCATCTTGAAACATATGAAAGTCAATGGGAAGGATTATCCCATATATTATGGAAAATAAAAAAATGTTCCAAACCACCAACCAGTCATACCATCTGAGATAAAATCTATGGTAGCATCTATGGTATGAACGATCTGTCCATCTTTTTTGTTTTTAGGGGGGGTCTTGCGATAAATGTAGGTAAACAAATGCTATGAGTACGTATGATACATATATATATATTATGATATATCATATATATATGGCGCATGTGGGCATAAAAACGACATACAACAGTGATGTTCGGATTCAACGTGCAAAAACATGGTGGGGATCACAGCAACAAACAGGAGATATGTAGCAGCCAAGATTGGGGGAAGGTTCATGAAGAATCGTAGGGTCACAGCCTTGAGAATGAGGTGGTTTACTGATGTTTACTGAACTGGACCAATCCAAAAATCCAAACAAATCCAAAATAGAATTGAACTAAACAACTGACAGAATTGAACTAAACAATTAAACAACAAAAAATGTGGCGTAATTTGAAGCTCAAACTAACAGACTTGGAGAATCCCTGGAATCAGCAAAGTGGTGACCATAACTGTCTTGCAACTCTGCTCATATTCGCACTGGAACCGGCTGCAGACTAGATTCTTTGGGCTCCTCCAAAGCTGGGTCTCTCAGGTATTCCCAGCACTCGTGAAATTCGATGAAAACTGTAGGCACTAAACATCCTCAAATTTTAATAAGATCATGCTAACTTGAGTTCGCTCTAGATTCCAGGCTTGTGAAATGTCACATGCTGGCCCATTTTTTTGTTTGAACATGTCCTTCCAAGAGATGGTGGCAGCAAATCCCAAATTATTATTAGGTGATGTTTCAAATGCCATATCCATCTATTTCCCCAATTTATGCATCTCCTCATTATTTTGGATTCTGTGTTTCCCCATCGGGTTCCCCATGGGGTCCCGTTGATACCCGGAATATCCCGAAGCCAACCTCCGAGGTTGCGGATGGCCGCGTCTCCGTCGTACCAAATGTGACCCGTGACCTGTGGCATGTGGTTTCAATGATCATTCAAGATCCCATCAACAAAACTTGGCAGTGTGTCAAAACCTTGTACCCCTGTAGTTCACATCAAAATAGCTGGTAAATGGATGTGAATAACCCACTGAAAATGGTATTAATAGGTATTGATCCATACCCATATATGAAAACAAACAAAAAAACATCAATCCCATTATCGATCCCATTATCATACCGTCATGATCGTCATTTCTGATGTAGTGATGGTTTTAGTATGTTTTAGCAATAGGTCAGACATCATCCCAAGGGGATGCAGTTGTTGATTTTCTACACCTTTTGGAAGAGTTTTCGGTCTATGAGTTGCCAACAAATGACATTTTTAGGGTATGTTGATAGTGGTAATTAATTTGGCCAAACACATTCTAAATCCTTCTAAAATGTTGTTGAAACATCCCCCAGCTTCTTTTTAACACCAAATTTGGCCAAGAAACTGGAAGAAAAACACCAAAAATGGTCATAATTTTTCGAGATCTGGGCCCACTTTCCATGATTTTCCTTATGTGGTTTTACCCAACTCCCAGCCTCATCCAAGGTTTGCCGCGTCTCGGTGTAAGGTTCCACCCCTTCCAAACGCCAGGCCGTAGGTGCCAGGTTGGGATTTCCCGGCACCGAGATGATGGTGTAGGAGCCCAAGGAGGCATAGATCCCGCCTCAAAATCTTGGGCTTTGGGCCGATTTAGGCCTTGGCGAAAGGAAAACCAAGGGTTCTTTGGTTTTTTTTTGCCCTGCCAGGTAGATTTGTTCTCCCGTCCGCCTCCTTCCTCCTTCCTCAACCGCGAGCTCCAGATCTCAGTGGGCACTGCCGCGGTTGAGGTCCGGCAGTGCCCATGTCAGAGAGAATGTCATATTTAAATGCCAGATAGAATCCTAGAATATAATGTCAGATAGCATAGCAGAATTGAATGTCAGAATAGATGCCAAATAGAATGCCAAAAAAAAGCCAGATAGAATGTCAGAAAGAATGTCAGCATATGTGCCAGAAAGTATGTCAGAATAGATGCCAGACAGAATGTCAAAGTATATGCCAGAAAGAATGTCAGATAGAATGTCAGAATGTGCATATATACGTATACATATATATATACATACACATGCAGTATGTCAGAAACTATGTCAGAATAATGTCACTCGGAGTCTAGTTTCTTTTTGGCTTTCTTTTAGGTGATTTAGCCATCAAGAATCGGATTTTCACATGGTTCTGATCTCATGGTGATGATTTGAGGGATTTTTTCGCCTCCGGTGTCAAACATTGCTGCTGGATTTTCCAGCAAGCCCTGGAGCACCAGAAGGCAGATGAGCGTTTAATGGGCCATGGCAAGCCATGAAATGCAGGCCAGTTATAGGTGTTTATATGGGGTTACTAGCAAATTAGTTCAGTCACCATGGCCCATCTACTGTAAGCAGGCAAAGAACTCAGGGCGCCAGAGGGTCAGACCAGTTGGGGCCCTAATGGCTATCGACGTGGATCCCTATTGAGTGATATCGACCAAGTCTTTATACATACCTAGACCCTCCAAATACCTCCAAAAACTGTATATGAAAGTGCTATTGGGTAAAACACAATTTTTACGGGTACAAACGGAGGGTTTAGGTATACATCCCAGGCCCTGTCAAGAAACCATGACATACTTGGAGAACCAAACGGCCCCAGAGAAGGACAATTGTGTATCAATTGTGTATCATCTGTTCAAGGAGGTGATGCCCTCCAGTTGAAAGTTGGTTTATAAGTAACCGTAACTAACCCCACTAAATAATCATATCTATTCATATCTACTATCAACATCTATCAACCCGTTGGCCTTATTGAACTGTGGTCATCGCCCGCCTGCAATTCGGCCTTCCACCCACTGGGGGGCAGGTCCAGAAGAGGCCCTTAGCTGAGCTTGCCATACCCGCCATACCCCAAACCCGGAGACGCCATCCAGTGGGCCTCCTCCATGTGAAATGTATTGAGTATAGGGATATCAAGTATAGGGAATGTCTACAGAGTCTATCATTCAAAGATGTGATGTCCATTCAACTGTGGGACTGATGGGACATACACTGGACCAAACCGACAATCTCTCAGGGGACAGCTTTTCACTTCCCGGGTTGTTTTACTTCCTTAGTTCTTTCAGTCGAGTATATCATCACCTTGATTTGTCCGAAAATCAATCAAATGGGCTGCATCTACTTCCGTCTCGTGGGAAAACACTATACATGTTGGTGTCTTGCCCATGCACAGGCCATTATGTCCACATCAGTATCAACATCTTTGCTTACCAAAACTGGGTATATAATATCCTCAAACAAATAAGTTGTTACAGTGCTGAAAAATGGTGGTGATAACGGACCCAAACCCAATACCCATCTATAGATCCTAAATATAAGAATTTGATAGAATTTGTCTCCTTGCCCGATTTATGTTTACAAGGTGGTGCCCCACTGTTATAAGTTTGTTTACAGTATATTCCCCGTTTACCATGTCATATCTATACTATAAAGCCTAATATATTGTTAGTTATAAACCAACGTAGCTATCACCGGCCAGTGGGACCCACTGTTTACGCACCCAGTGACCATGCGCTCGAGAGATTCTTATCGAAGGCATAGTTGCAGAAGTTCACATTGCTGGATGCCCTCAGCGTAGGGTTGGAAAAGCAATGGGGTTGTACAACGGTTGTAGCGTGGGAGATGAATCTACCTAACCCTCCGTTGACATAAAAATGCTGGAATATACCCCATAGTTTTAAGGTTTTTACCATTCTTGGGAGCTATTTGGAGGGTCTAGGTAGCAAAGTAACATCGGTTTGTCTGAAAATGTGGTACATCTTCAATAGTCCCCAATTATGGCTGTTTAATGCGGGACAATTTTCCCTACCAATGTTCTATTCACAGTGGATGTTCTTCCTATCCAACTTATACTCATCCAACAACTGTCGCTCAAGCTGCCCAGAAGTTCGCTAAGAGTCTTGCATGGATTTTCTGACACTGTTTTAACTTATGTCCGATCCAGTCATTAGGTCTTCATAACTTCAGATAGTTTATCGAATATGAATACAATCCAGGGTTTTTAGGGCTGATTGACGGCCCAATTGTCTCTAGCCAGATCAATCCCTATACCAAGAGTTCTCAAATCGGTTGATTCATTCCAAAAAGTACAAAAGCACTGGTGCAAATGGTGCTTAGATGGGCCACTGAGTTAGTTGCAAGAGGATATATAAGCCAGTTGTTAGCCAGTTGTTAACCAGTTAACCAACTACACTGCCATCCTAATGTAAAACTCTCAGCATTGCCACTGCAGAAGCGAAGGGTTCCAAATTTCCTTGGCCCAAACCCATCAATGGAAATGTCCGGAAGCAAATGCTGCCTCAACGTTCAGTCAATGGATCTGTTCATTTTGGGGCCATTTTTGGGGTTTAAGGAATAAATCATGTATACTCATATGTTCTATAAATTCCTCTTTTTAGTAACTAACATGTTTTGATTATCATGTTACAAACAATGTGTTATCCCTGTCAATGGAAAGACGATCAATTCCACCGACAGCAGGATTTACCCATCTACCCCAGGGTCCCATCAGCATTTCTCTTAGAAAAGAGGTGGTTTTCTCCCCAGTGGTGTGATTTTGTTTGGATATAAGACCCATTAACGATGGATATGTCACATAGATTCATATATATATAATATTTATTGTATATATATAATATTATATATATATACATTATATTATATATACATATATACCCTAGTTATGTTAGTTATGAAGCAACTTAACCATTCCGAGCTGAACTGCGGCAGCGCCGGCAGCGCCTTGAAGACAACTATCCCAGTCCACCATTGAGTTCCATGATTTTCATAGCTATAAACTTCCATTTATCTCATCCCAAGAAGGTTACCTTGTTTGTTGATTCCATTTTTTGAATTAAACAGCCTTACCTGGTTAAATAATGTTACCGTAAATCATACTATGTAAATCCCCAACTTTTGATGGTTAAATCACCATTAAACTCATATAAAACCCCCATATCATAATATACGCGCCGAGGGACTCGCAGCTTCCCACGTCCAGACTAAGCCCCTCCACGCAGCGAAAAAGGGCCAGCGCCAGGAGCCACATCAGTTTCATCCCATGGCTGAAACCAAGGAATTGAAGATTGGGTTATGTGCTTTAAAAACATGTTCTTATTATGATTAAATTTAACGGATTTTAAAGTTGAAGTATGTAAATCAGCTAAGCCTTGGGTCTTTGACGTGTTGACCTCAACTCCCACACGGCTGGACTTTGCTTCGTCAGCTGAACTGCCTATGGAGGGCTATATATACACATTACACCGGTTCATGAAGGGCTTGCAATACCAAACAACGAAACATTCTTCCAAGCATTTTCAGCATTGCCAGCATGTTCGTTGTTTTGCAGGAAACACCCATGGTTTATGGCTGTTTACCGAACATGGTTTCCTGTATACTGTTCGTTTTATTCATCCATTGAAGATATTATAGAACTTCATGATATTGATCAATTTCCTAGATGCTCTTGTCTGTGATCACAGTGACCGATGTTTTTTTTCCTGAGCCGATAGGCCTACCATACAGTGCAAGCTCAACGATTGTCTTGGAAAAAGACTCCATTGACAATCAGTTGACAAATGAAACGGGGTAACATGACGAAAATTAAAGGATAGATGCCAACAATCGTGGGTCAAATGCAGGTCTAGGTCATGAAAACACTGAAAAAGTGAAACATGATGATAAATGCATAAGAAGTGAGCTGGACCTCAAGTGCGATGGTTTTTTTTGTGACCCTCTATGACATTGGCATTCGCAGAAATCAATGGAACTCGAGCCGCGAACTTTGTCGGCTCGGAGATACTGCTTCGGGTTGGTGATTTCAACTTTCAAAACAAAAAGGTGCTTGCAACAAGCCTTTCCAAAAAGGGATAGGATGTTAACCTGGTTTCAAGATGCTTCAAGACCAGGTTGCTTGATGTTGCTTGGTTAAAAGCCCTTGTTCCATGTTTCCCACTTATCACTGATATGAAACCACCATCCAATTGCTATACCTGCTGCTCGATTCCGTCGGATCCTTCGCAAATCATGGACTCTCGTCGTCAGAGGGGCTGTCAGCCTGCAGGTCGCTTGATGTGAACATGTCCTAATGAGCACCTTGACAACATCCAAACCAGTTTGAAACAGTTTTTCCGAATTTTGAAAACCCAAATATATAAACTTTATTTGGGCCAAATTAAAATGGTGGTTCCATGTCTTTCCTCATCACTGCATCACATATGAATACTATTTGAACTTTGGCATTCCATAGGTCCTCATTCCGCGTTCCATGGCACCCCCGCCTTGCCCAAGTCAGGCGCAGCCCCGCCGATCCAGAGCTCTTTCTCTTCAGCCTGGAAACACAGCGACGTGGCGGAAAGTGGGGATCATCCTGAACCACCAACCATCATGGCTAAGTCCTGATGGTACAGTAAAACAAAAAAACAACGGTAATCACCGGTAACAAACTCCCTGAAAACACGTGACGTGACGTTCTGGCGCTTGTTTTTAGCTTCTGGCGCTTTCAATCAGCGTTGCGATGAGTGACTCAGCTGCTGGTATGGCCTTGGCTTGAGACACCAGGCCCTTGGTTCAGTGACATGTGGATTTCCGGTTCTGCGATTAAGTACCCTTGAAGTGGTCACTTAACTACTATATATATCTATATATAGTAATACTAAAATGTAACTTTGAACTGCAAAAGGAAACTTCTTGGCAGAGGCGGTTCATCCTGTGCCTTCTGAGCTTGATGTGTTATTTTTTTCTGTTGCTTTAAGACAGTGATTGGACGAGGAGAGCATCCTTCTCATTTCACAAGTTGAACTACCCACCTTCAGGAACTCATCTGTAAAAGCCTCAGCAAAGGTGCAAACGCAGAGATGCATGGGAGTCCATCCGTTGATCATCTGACTTTTGGATATGGGTCAAATCTGGGTAATTCATGGTAATTCCATGTAATTGCCAAAAAACAACTGGCAGTAACCGTGAACAAATGAGACAAAACCATTTGAACCATTTGCATCATGATTTGATCATTTTAGGCGTCCAACCAAGAGCACCAACGATTACGAAGAAGGTGCTGTTTGGGTGTCAAGGCGTCAAGCATTCCCGGATGTCAACAGCTTCTGGTTACCTCAATGGTTTGGTTTAACCCATGGGTTTTTCGTGTTTTTTCCCATCAAATATGGGAGTTTCTGGCCAATTGGATCAACTTGCCAGGCACTAAGGGCTTGTCACGAGGTCGCAGGAAACCAGAAGCAAAGGCCCACACGCGGGCGCAAAGGGCCATGGGTTTTATATGGATCGACCATTGCATATATATATATATGTATGTATGTGTATATATATATATATGTATATTACAGTAATCCTTCCTTCGCTTATATACAATTTAGCCACTTAAACAAATGTAGGGTCTTTTTAGATACTTTGCCAATGTTGGGCAAGGCGGTCCCCTCCAGTCCCTCCAGGATGGTCAATGGGGCCCAATGCCAAAAACAAGTCCTACCAGTACTTGGGAATTGTCTATACAACCCATTTATGGTCATTTATGGTCATATTTGGGCTGTTTAATCATGCACTTTTCTTAGAATGGCATGGGGGTTGTTACTGCTAGAGGTCTTTTTGGCCATACATGCACCCCAAGGGAACCCCATCAAAAACCCCAAAGAGACTAAAGTAAGCTAATAAAGACCCATTGAAAACCTATGGGGTTTAGTGGGGAACTTTGGGTTTTGTTTGTTTTTGTCTTAGTTTTTTTAAGGTTTTATTTGGTTTTTGATGTGGGTGCAGCCCATTCTTGGGAATTGGTTGGAAATCAGTTGGGGATCCCTTGGATGTGCTTCGCCCATTTACGGGAATGATTTAGGTTTTTCTGGGAATTAGCTAGGTTTTTGTGGGGATAAGTTACAGTAGGTTTTGTTGGTGGTTCAGTGGGACTATTTGGGAACCTTGTGGGTTTCTCCAGGGTCTTGATTGGGAATCCATTGGGCCTAGAAAAGGCTAAAAAGTTCTTAGCAGAAACATAGTGCAAGCCGTTCTATGAACTTTACCATACCCATTTGTGACTGGTGAGTGGGTTAAACAAATCCACCATTTGCGTCAAATTCATTTCAAATGACAGCTCACCATTGCAGTAAGAACCTGCATCTCAAAGTGAAGTCCATTCAAATATACCAAAGCACTGAATGATGGGATTTTGACTTCGAAGGGTTTGTGATAGTTTCTTGACACGCGTAAAAACATTGGTATAATTATATATGCATATGTGTATATGTAAGCATTATATATGTATATAAAATGTGTATATATATTGTTGCTTTGCCAACTTGAGCCATGATTCACTGTCCATCATGTCCATTCCATTTCGCCGGCCTCATTGGACACCTTCCAGTGGTGGGAGGGTTGAGGATATTGAGCCATCAGCAAGGACAAAGGCAGCTGGGTTTAGGGCAGGACAGGGTTCCCCCAAATCTATTGGAGTAGATTCAGATTGGTAGCGGAGCCCATTGGGCTGCCGCAGGCATAGGACAGGGTTCCTTAGGTGTAGAATTTAAGGTGTTGCAGGGACAACATTGCACAGCCATAACAGTATCTGAGCCATGGCGGAGACAGAGCCTGCGGAAGCAGCGGGATCCAAGGGCGCACAGCTGCCTTCGTCGGCGCTTCCTTGGCATCAGATACCAAAATTTGAGCCTGGAGTGACGGATCTTAGGACCTACACTCGGAAGCTTGAGTTTCTCCGAGATTTGTGGCCCCCAGAGCATATCGAACACCTTGCTCCACGGGCTGCACTACAGGTCGAGGGGAGTGCCTTTCAAAAGGTAGCTCGACTGCAAGCGGAGAAACTTCGCACAGCTGACGGTGTGAAGTACTTGGTCGAATCGCTTGGAGGTCAGTGGGGAAAGTTGGCAGATGAGGATCGATATGATCTCTTTGAAAGAGCCTTGTTTTCAACACAACAAAAATCAGATGAGTCAAATGACAGCTACCTCACCAGGCATGATGTGGCGTTTGATGATTTACTGGGAAGAGGGGTTCAGCTTGAGGAGATCAGGGCTTACATCCTACTCAGACAATCAAGTCTGTCTGCCGATGACCGAAAGAAGGTGATCATGGATGCAGGTGGGAAGCTGCAGTACGAGAGTGCCAAGAGGAGCATTCGCCTCCTGGGATCACGATTCTTTCAAGATCTTCAAGCAGGGGGTCGGAGCAATCAGCGGCAAAAGACATATGATGTCAACCATGTGGATGAAGTTGAAGAAGTTCACAACACCTGGACTTCGACGGAACCAGAACTTGACGAAGAGGCCATTCAACAGATTCTGCTGGAAGAAAATGATGAAGATGCCCATTTTGTGCAGGACTTTGAGGAGCAGATTTTACTGACTTGCCAAGACTCTCAAGAGTTATCGGCTTGTTTCAGCACATATCAAGAAGCTCGAGACCGCCTGAGAGACAAAGCCCGATCACGAGGATTCTGGCCTGTTCGAGGATCTCATACCAAAGGAAAAGGACGTGGCGGGGGAAAAAAGGGGCGATCGACTTTTGGGGCAGCGGCATCCAGTTCTGGCTACTTGCAAAAGCGCAAAAGCTTGGCAGAGAGGATTGCCAACTCAACATGCCGAAAATGTGGGCAGCCAGGACATTGGCGCCGAGAATGTCCGCTCAATGCCGATGCTTCCAAGGACAAGAACAATTTCACTGGACTGGCCGAGATTCACTCTGAGGAGATGATTGCCTTGACGGAGGACCAGGATGTTCTTGATGATCTACCCGCCGATGCCGTCCTGATCCACGAGGCGCACCAGGTAGGACTGGATCAAATTTTGAAAGAAAATTTTTATTTCTCTTCTCCAGCACAAAATCGTTTTGAGGACACCGTGAGAATTGAGAAAGATGAGTCTTTGAGGGTTTGGTGTTGTTTCAACGTTGGGGATCATGAATGGAAGGGGATTCGGGGTTTTCAACAAAAACTCACCTCAAAACTTGTGCAATGCTGTAGGACACACTATGGGACCAACGCTGATGCAGCTGCAGTCCAATCGACCTTCAAAGAGCCTTCCAAATCAGCCGACGCAGGAGCTGATGCTGAAAACAGCTTCAGTTTTTCCAGTGTCGATTGCCTTTTTAACAGTGAGGAAGATGTAGGAGAGGCAATAATTGATACAGGGGCTAGCCGGGCAGTGATTGGTGAACAGAGACTTCAGGGTATGTTGGATTCTCTCCCAGAGGGTTTGCGTAAGATGACATACCGGGCCCGTACCCCTGGGGTTGTTTTCAAGTTTGGAAACTCATCCAAATTGACCAGCAGATTTGCCATCCTTCTTCCTCGCAGTGAAAAGGGCTGGCTCAGAGTCGAAGTGGTGCCAGGGCAAACACCATTTTTGATATCAAATTCAATTTTGAGGGGTCTCAGGGGAGTAGTTGACGTAGAAGACCAAGTACTGAGATTCAAGGGCAGCCCACGGGTCATTCCATTGCATGCATGTCGTAAAAGTCTACTCAGTGTAAAGGTTTCGGAACTGTTATCATGCGCACCATCAGGAAAAATGCCAAGTGACACGGAAACCATCATGCATGTAGACAAGGTACAGGGACATGAGGGTTGCACGGAATCTCAAGAACATGATGAACATGAGGGTTGTACCACACATGAGGGTCGAGCATATCATGAATATCCCAACCACCACTTGGATGTTAATGAATGCATGCAGCAACAAAGAAAGGTGAATGTTCATGATAACAGGGAGATGGTCGGAAGTTCAACAAAACCTAATGTACACATGAAACACGAACCACATGAAACTGGGAACAATGTGCAGGTCAGATTTCAGGATCAAGAAGAAAATTTAGCGACGTCCAAGGTCAGCCATGGCATCTCAAGGTCAGAGCTCGTATCTCACGGCCGAGCTCACTCTCCCGGAGGACGAGACATTGGGGTTCAGTGCCACACATGGGAACATCGGGGAGATCAACAAGCCACCTGGAATCCATACACTGGAAGAGTGGGGACAAATCAGAGCACCATCGGGAAAATATCCAGGAAGCACCTTCGCGGAGATCTTCCAGAAGGACCAGGTGTATGTGCAACACATGTGGAATCGCAGAGGGGTATCATCCTGGGTCCGAAGTTTCCAGATGTACTGCCGAGCAGTGAGGAAATTAGAACCGAGTCCCGATTATCATCGGGGATACCAAGCACCGGTGACACCGAAGAGCATGTCAAAATCCAAGCCTCCGACAACAGTGACATGAGAGTGGACCAAGATCGAGAAGACCGGAGAAGCTATGAAAACCAGCCCCAAGGGGGAGAACAAGCATTCCATGCAGGAGCCCAAGAACGAGATGCAGACCGAAGCGAATCCCGAACGAGTCGAAGTTCTTCGCACACAGATCGCGATCATGCAGAGGGAGCTCGAAAAGGAACTGAACAGCTCCAATTCAGCTCAGTCGTCAGGTCCAGTGCTGGAGAACAATTAAATTCGATTGATCAAGAAGTGTATCATATTATCAATGGAAGTCCCTTGAAACGTCTCAGCATGAAACAAGAGCAGAAAATACATGAACAGATTTCTCAGAAAATGATTGATATTGAGGAAGGGTTGAGAACTGTTTCAGACACTGCTCTGTTCGCACGAGACAAAAGGGCAAAAGGGTTCAGCGGGCGCCCAGGCAGTCATGGTCCACCAGTGACTTTATTGGAAGTTTATTGCGAAGAAGGGTCTCAGCTTTCTTTACAAGTCCAAGCAAAAGGGGGTAGAGCTATTCGTTTTACCCGAAAAGATGGGGACCTTAGCACCAAAGAGGGAAAAGAGAAACTGTGGTCATGGGTAAAGTTGTATGAACCCAAACATCTATGGGTAGCACCCGAATGTCGATTGTGGGGAATGTTTTCCAGGTTCAACATGGGACGTAGCATGACATTCCTAGAGAAAATACTACATGAAAGGGAACATGACAAACAACACTTGGTTCTCTGCAATGATTTGTATTTACACCAAGTTGGAGAAGGTAAACACTTTCATCTTGAACAACCAAAAGGGTCAGAGATGATGGATCAAAGGGAATTAGATGATGCCAGACTTGGAACTCTACCAGCTATGTTTGACATGTGCCGCATGGGAAAACTCAAGCTTCCAAATCAAGAACGGTTTCTTCAGAAAAGAACCACGGGCTATACAACGAGTAGGGGACTATTCAACTGGTTGCACGAACAAACATGCACACGGGACCATGAGCATGCTCATATCAAAGGGAAGGCATGGATAAAGGGTAAATGGATGAATATATCAAGTTATGCAAAGGCATACACCTCAACTTTTGCCCGCAGGGTTGCCCAGTATCTCTGTAATTGGAGAAAGGAAAAACCCCTGGTTGTAGAAGAAATGGTTCTTGGATTGGAGGATCATGAAAAGCCCAGCATGGCACCTGAAGCACTGCAGCTGCAGAAGAAACAGCGTCTAAACGCCAAGCAACCGGAGGCCACCATGTATGGCAGAGCTCCATCGTGGGCAGAGATTTTCCGACATGCAGGGTATGAGACAGGGAGAGTTGGGGGTCATGAGTTTGGGGAAAATCATGTTGTCACCAAGTGGGCCCAAATGTTGACCCCTGAAATGACGGTCAAGCTCACGGTTGCTTGTCGTGGCACAGATAGACACCGCATCCATGGGCAAGCATTTGCAGCAGAGAGGTACCCATGGCGAAAAACCATTATGGTAGATCGTCACACTGGGGAAATCAAAGAAACTGGTCCAGCGGAAGAATGGGTAAAGTTGCCAAAGTTGAAACAAATACGAAAGACTGGACCAGCCAAAATCTCTCTCACACTTTTTGGACACAAGGATGCAATTATCTCATCGAGTGCCGGTCCCGTTCCATCATCTGAAGAGAAAACAGATGAACGAGTTCCCAAGTTCGATCCTTCTGCATCTGCAGAGAGCGAAGACTCTCTCATGCCAGAGGCTCTGGATGGGAAGGAAAATCGTCGAACCGAGGTTGATGACTCCCAATTGGAATACGAACGAGGATGGGCCCCCAAAGTTGTACCTAGGTCTGGTCCCGGGTTTTTGGCACTGGGGAGTGATGCAAGGGCGGATTTGCGTCGTCTTCACAACAATTTGGGACACCCTGACCCAAGTCGTTTTGGAAAATTCCTGAAGGAAAGGGGAGCAACCTCCGAAATCATCCAGGGAGCCCTCGATATGCAATGCGATGGATGTACGGAGATGCAATCCCAACCAAAACTGTCTCAGCCCAGTCGCATCCACGAAAATTTGGATTTCAATGATGTGATAGGCGGTGATGGGGCATATTGGACAAGTGCTCAGGGGAAGGTATATCATTTTATGCATTTCATTGATGAGGCAACCTTGTTTCATGTTGGGGTTCATAGTGGGCGGAGTTTTGAAGAACAAGTGCATGCCCTTGAAACCGCATGGACACAGTGGGCAGGACCATGCAAATTGATATACCTCGATCCTGCAGGGGAATATGCGACAGAAGCCTGGGCGACTTACCTTCAATCCGAAGGTATTAAAGTTTCCATGACAGCAGCTGAGGCACACTGGCAAAATGGTAGGTGTGAGGTACATGGAAAGATTGTCAAGGACATGTTGACTCGTATGGAGGGTGACTCACCGGTGTTGACAGAGGTTGATTTTAGGAAGAACCTACGCCAAGCTTTTGCTGCCAAAAATTCTCTCAGCAGCATTCATGGATACACCCCAGAACAATGTCTTTTGGGAAAATCACGAGCATTGCCAGCTTCCCTTGTCAGCGACGATGATGCCAGCAGTCATGTGCTGGCCGAAAGCAACTCACCTGAAGGCCAATGGTTTAGGGACAGTTTGCAGCGACGCGAAGCAGCTAGGAAGGCATTTGTTCGGGCTGACAACGATTCGGCCTTCAGAAGAGCGTTGCTCCGGCGTAGCCGACCAGGTGTGCTGACTTTTGAGCCAAAAGACTGGGTTCTGTATTGGCGAAGATCAAAGGGGAACAATCGTTTGGAACGTGGGCGTTGGCATGGGCCAGCCCAAGTTATTGTGGTTGAAGGAAAAAAGGTAGTTTGGCTCAGTCACCTTGGTAGGATAATTCGGGCAAGCCCGGAACAACTACGTCCGGCTTCGTTGAGAGAGTACCACAAATTACCCAAAGATTCAATGGGGAATGCTATGGATGAGACACCAAGGGGCAGGGGTTACCTTGAACTTGAGGATATCCCAGAGGATAATCAATTGGGAGAGGCAGCCCCCTCTGAAGCTTACTCACCATCTTTGGGACAAAGTGGACCACAAACTCCTCACAGCACCTCTCAACCGGACAATGAAGAATTCCCCCCAGACTCAGGTCATGGAACGTCAGCACCATCTCTAGGAAATGAAGAGAGTGAACAGGGGAATGATGGGGATGACGGAAAGTTGGAACCACATGAGATTCCTGTACCTGATAGTGATGATGGTGACTCTTTTCTATGTTTTGGGGATGATGTTGAATTTCCACAAAATAATTCCGGAGTTTGGGAAATAAATCTTTGCGAGTATGACCAAAGCTTACAACCAGAAAAAGAAGAGGAACTGGTTCATGTGTTTTTGGCTGAACAAGTTCTTTTGGCATCCACTGCACGAAAACAAAAGGTAGAAGTCCAGTACCGTAGCCTCTCGGTTGAGGATCAAAAGCTGTTTGATGCTGCCAAACAAAAAGAACTGAAAGCGTGGATTGACCACAAAACCGTTCAGCGGGTCGCCAACGGCACTTTGAAACCAGATCAAATTATGAGGTGCCGCTGGATACTCAGTTGGAAGGCACCAGAGGTAGGAAGTGTTGAGCGACGGGCAAAAGCACGGTTGGTAGTGTTGGGTTTTGAGGATCCTGATTTGTCCACTGTTCCACGGGATGCTCCAACACTAACAAAAGATGGTCGTCAACTCATCCTACAGCTGGTGGCATCCAAACGTTGGGATTTGTTGAACTTCGATATTTCCACAGCCTTTTTAAAGGGAAAAGGGGATGGCCGGGCACTTGGTCTACATGCTCCACCAGAGATGAAAAGTGAACTTCAAATGAAAGAAGGCGACCAATGCCTTCTAAAAGGGGGGGCGTATGGCCGTATCGACGCTCCATACCTCTGGTACTGTGAACTCAGAAAGGCACTGGAGGAGTTGGGTTTTGTTGCTTGTCCTTTTGACGGTTGTGTGTTTAGTTTGGTTACCCAAAAGAAAAATGGAAAACCAGAGGTTAGGGGCATGTTAGGAGTGCATGTCGATGATGGCATAGGAGGGGGAGACTCCTACTTCAAGGCCACTCTTCAGAAACTCAGGGATCGTTTCAGTTTTGGGGCATATAATGAACATGAGTTCGACTTTTGTGGGGTTCATTACAAACAATGGGATGATGGTACAATTGAGATGGATCAAAAGGGGTATCTCAAAGGAGTGGAACCAATTAATGTCCCGAAAACTAGAAGACAAGAACCTGAGTCAGAACTGAATGAAACCGAAAGATATCACCTTCGAGCTCTGTGCGGGAGCATACAATATGCTGCTGTACACACCAGACCTGATCTGGCGGCAAAGGTAGGACAGTTACAGTCATGCATTCCCAGGGCAAAGGTCAAAGATCTCCTAGAAGCCAATCGAGTGCTTTATGAAGGAAAGCGCCATCATGTGTGTATCATGGTGGTTCCCATACGAATAGAAGATTTGACCTTCTGTGCCTTTTCAGATGCCTCATTTGCAACTGCATCAAATCTGCAGTCCCGACAAGGGACACTGATATTTACAACAGACAAGAATCTTGCAGAGAATAAACGTGCCGTTGTCTGTCCAGTGGCTTGGAGCAGTCGTAAAATACCAAGGGTTGTGACTTCAACTCTTAGCGCAGAAGCTGTTGCTTTAAGTTCAACACTGGACCGTCTAGGCTTTTTGAGGCTGTTCTGGGAATGGGTCAAAGACCCAAGCGTGGACTGGACATGTCCGGACAAAATTCTGAAAGAGGCACCTCGGTGCAATGCAGTGACAGACTGCAAGTCTGTTTACGATATCGCATCGAAGCAGGCTCCACCACAGTGCTCAGAACATAGGACGTTGCTGGAATGCCTTTTAATTCGAGAGCGATTGCAAGAAAACATCTCATTACGGTGGATAGCAACACAGGCAATGCTAGCCGATTCACTGACTAAGAGCATGGATGCCAGTTTGTTGCGTGAATGTCTCCGTACAGGTAAGTATAGCCTTTTTGACGAAACGGAAGTGCTGAAACAAAGGGCTAACCGCCGTGAGAAGTTAAAGTGGCTGCATGGAGAACAGGATGGACAGAATGAATCATAAAGGGAACACTGTCTTCTGAAAATTTCAATTTTTGGATTTTTGACGAGTGTTGTTTTGCCAACTTGAGCCATGATTCACTGTCCATCATGTCCATTCCATTTCGCCGGCCTCATTGGACACCTTCCAGTGGTGGGAGGGTTGAGGATATTGAGCCATCAGCAAGGACAAAGGCAGCTGGGTTTAGGGCAGGACAGGGTTCCCCCAAATCTATTGGAGTAGATTCAGAATATATATATATATATATGTATATATATATGTATATGTATATGTATATATATGTAATATGTACATATGTATTTTGTTTCTACATACATATTAATTGTACCTATATATATGATATGATATATATATATGATATATGCGTACATTACATATATGAATGCATACTGTACATATATTGTGGGGTTGTTATTGGATTGGCAAGATGTTGTAGCATAAGATCACCCCAAACACATAGAAAAACCGGAACAACCACTCCAGCAACAAAGTGACTCTTACTCTTTTGCACCTTCGCTGCTGTTGCAGGCGTTAGCAACACCTCATGCACATTGGGACCATACCCTCCGGAGATCCTGGCCTTTCCAGTGACTCACCGTTTGGTCGCTACGTTCCTACTTGCTGTGGATACTTGAGTTGCTGCTAAAACTCAGGACTTGACAGGCAATTCACTTCTGGCCTTGGATGGCCGGTGAAACGCAGGACACACACACTGGACCCCCTGCTGTGGAAATCTCAGAAGGTGCCTGAAAAGTGTCAATCCGGAATGCCCAATTGATAATCCCCTCAATTGATATGGAGGATATCATTCATAGGTGGAATTATCACGATTTCATGGGCCCCTTCACAGTAATCCCTGCAAACTCTGCAAATCACTGCAATTCTCAACTCAGAAATATTCTCACTACTCAGACATATTAGACATATAGACATATTAATATGAAATTCACCCAGCATTTTTACGGGACGATTTCCCGATCAAACCTAACTATAAGCATCATTTCCACTGAGGTATCTGAGCTCGTGGCAGCCTCCGACTTGCCACCCTGCAGATTCCGTTGGCAAAAAACCCATGGAATCCTCTGGTTTGCTCCCAAAATTTAGAGATTTTGGTCACGGTGATCCATAAGAAACCTCTAAAATTCGATGGGAAATGGCTTGTCAATGCAGCATAATGCAGCTATATCATGCTATATCCACTGCGAAATTAGAGATGTAGTGGGATAGAGTCGAGAAGTCCAAGCCAGCCACAATAAAACCGGATGTGGTATGTGGTATGGAGTTCAGAATGGCATGGACATCATCTACCCTACTGGGCGCAATCACAACACTTCAACACTCTCTGGTTGCTGGTTTTAACAATCTTGAAACATATGAGTTCGTCAATGGGAAGGATTATCCCATATATATATATATATATAATTCTGGAAAATAAAATTCATGTTCCAAACCAGCAACCCAGTTCTATATTGGGGTTAGGCAATGGATGTTTCCCCATGTTGAAACCCTTCCTTTTTGATCCAACCCACCAAGCAGCTGAGTTTCCGACTTGTCGGTCCTGCCTCGGTGAAGCCACTTTGGGGAAATCTGACCAGTCAGGATGGAATATTTACCGTAAATATAGGGGGGCACCTTTGGGGAAATGTAGGTTTAAATATGTTTAAATATTCCATACATGGAGCGGGCGAACCAAGGGTTGCAACAAGTTCCTTCATGGAAGTTGATTGCAGAAAAATATGCGAAGAAACTGATCCAAACTATAGGGTGATGCCCAGTGATTTCGGCCAGGCCAATGTAAGATTCGTCAAATTCTTCAAACCTTTGCTAATCAGGCAAGATGAAGTGAGCAGTTCGCCATTTGACCCTCCCCAAAAACCTGAATTGATTGATGTTGGCGTCGGAGTGTCCAATATATAATTGGATTATGCAATCACCAAAAGGATGCCAACATAAATTCAAACTGAACCAGTGGCACGTCACATTTAACTGTTTTCTTTCTGGATTGCTGTAGTCCATATTCCCTTCAAATATTATTATGGCAGTGTGTCAAAACCTTGTACCCCTGTAGTTCACATCAAAATAGCTGGTAAATGGATGTTCATCCCACTAAAAATGGTATTAATAGGTATTGATCCATACCCTATTTGGAATAGCAAGACTGACCCCATGTTTCACCATCAAACCCACCCACTTTTCGATGAAATTTCACTGACTGAGCTGAGGCGTGCGACGCGATGTTGCACATGGTATGGAGAAAAGAGGCGATGTAAAGGGCCACATATGCCTGGAGACTGGGCGAGATTCCACCAAGAAATACCCTCTGGTAAATTAACATAGACCCTGGTAGATAGGGGTTGGAAGATTAGTTTCCTCTAACAATTGGTGATTTTCAGGGTCTATGTTTATTTACCAGAGGGTATGAGACAAACAAAGAACCCCAATCTCAACAAAGAAACATTGTCTGAAGAAATTGTTCTGCACCAGCAAGTCCGGCAATCATGAGAGCTTACACAGTTTACCTTTATCGGATCTCATCGGTAATTGAGAAGTGGCATGATGGGATGCGTTACGTGATGGGTCGACTTTGATGTCGGTTCACATCAAACATCGGATTGCGATGCAATGATTGATCATTTTCGTAACATACGGATTTATGTTGTGTAAAGCAAGTGAGGGTTTTTGTGTTTCTATACTGTATTTATAATATACACACGTTCTCATGACATAACACAAGCCAGGGTCACTGCTTCTGTTGGAAGTTTCTCGTGGAAAAGTTCCACCTTAGAGCTCCAAAGTGAAACTGCCTGGTGACATTGTTTTGGACCAAAAGAGTGGGTGTACACCATGGGCCGCCCAAAAGATCATGTTCAAATCGTCCACAATTGTCCATATTTTTTTCTTCAAACTCCAATGTTCATCAATTTTCGCCAATTTTGACCCTGGTTTCTCCCCCAAGTTCCATCACCACGAATTCGCTCAGTTTGGCACCAAAAAGTCGCGTTGGCGCTTGATATCTCCAGGCCTAGGTTCTTGGAGGTGCAGTTGAGGTATGCTATAACCGTTATAACCCCCCTAAGTTGGGATATAATCCCCATAACTATAGCTGCATATCTATTTATAGTTGGAACTGCACTTCCAAGTTGGCATCTATGTCCACATAGAGCATACTTATCCAGGTTGTCCACAATTGAACATGCATGCAGAACACATGTATAATTGTCAAAAGTCAAAAGCGAAACTAAATATCCAGAATACCCTATGAGTCGATTAGTTAAACTTTATATATACAGTATATATATATATATATTGTTGCAGAACTATCCGTTGTCATGCGTTACTGTATATCCATGATTGTCCACAATTGACAATACAATCAACTATCCAAGCATATCCAAACTATCCAAATGATTTCAAATACCATTCACTATCCATTGTCATCATACCCACTATAGTCTCTACTGGTCCCTTCCCCAGTTCATGTTCAACACCCTCCAAAAACCATGGTGGATGTAGGGGATGAAATCACATATTCGGGAACATAGAATCGGTGTTTTTTTTTTATATTAGGGGGGATGGAAGTAGAGCACGAGAAATAGACAAATAGTGTGGCTATGGATCAAGACATATACTGGTTTATATATATATATACATATATACATATATTAAATATAGTTGTTTAATAATTATATATATATATCATTCTCAGGGGATGAACATCCATAAACACCAGCTATCGTGATATACACAAGGGATTATACCCATAATTATCCAATCATTCCCGATTTAGTTTGATGATTTTCCCGTGAAAACTTTCATTTCGTTCGGAAATGTCTGGATCAGATCCAATATTATATGGGTGCTGAATATCAGGGGATGTGAGTCCTGAAACATATACATTGTGTATATATATATATACATATGTCTATCTGCTGTATGTATATCCAATATCTTCCACCCTCCAGTGCCATCAAACATGGACAGCTGGAAAGTGAATTTCCAGCAAGCCAGGTTTGGTTACCAGATGATAAATCCCTTAAACATCGCGATATCACCAGGTTGGTTGGTTGCTGAAAAATCACAATTTTTGCTAGTTAAATCGTCGCTATCACCATTGAACACTCATCATCTCACCACTTAATCGCACTTTTCTATATGCAAACATGGACCCATAATCCATAAGATACTCAAACCATATATCCGCATACATATGTATATCAGTTGTTGATCAAAAATCCTTTTTCCGCATTTTTCCGCGAACGACCATTCTTCGCGAAGAAACATGTTACATCCGCGAGGTCCATGTTTATCTTTCGCGGAACCCATGTTGGGCAACAACGCAATGAAGAATCAGTCATCACCTGCCAAATAATGCCGAATGATCACGGATCACTTCTTGATAGCGAAGTAAACATGCAGCTAGCATCACCGAATCCGTTGGTGATTAAAGTTTTCTTTGGGCAAGGCTTCTTGGGCCACCCCTTCAAAATGCACTTTGACTTTCGCCCGCTCCTTCGCAGAACTTTCGCGAAAATATCCCCACCGGTAGACCCCAGCTTTTGACATATGTATATATATATATTCATATATATGTATACATACGTATGTATATATTATAATTATATATATTTATATTATAATTATATATATCCATATATCATATTGATACTGCAATATTCCATGCTCATGGATCTGTCCCTTAGCAGCCCCATGACTTTGACGGCCGGCTGAATCTGGTCCGTCTCCAGGCGGCTCATCACCTTGCTCCGACATCAATTTGGGGATGCAAAACATGTCAGGTCAAGAAACTGGGAAGATTTTGAACTGAAAGACATAGATGAAATGAATTGAAATGAGAGCTCACCATTCCAAATCCATTTCTAGGAATCTGAGCAAGAAGATCTGCGGGTGCTAATGGGGAGGAATCCAAATCTGGTCAGGTAGTATCCACAAAACGTATGGGTATCCCAACAAATTGGTTGGGCAGCATAAGAAAAACATACAAAATAAAACATCTCCCCTGAGACTTAGATTTTGATTCACACTAATTTATATGGGTATGGCTCAAGAAACGCGCATGGATGTTTCTGCAGTGATCCGGACGTATGGAACGAGTGAGTTGTGTATACTATAGTATACTGAATACTACAGTGGCCTGGTACAAGTACAACTTGTGATTTTGGGCAATGGATCAAGGGTATGGATTAAGGGCATGGGTATAGATCGGGGCTATGGATCCCATGTGGCTCCAGGGTAGAGAAACAATGTGAAACAAGGTGCAAGCCTCCATTTTGTACTCATTCAGATTGGTAATTAAATAATATTATATACCATAGGATATCATATAGGTGTCAATCTTGATGAGAATGTTGCGGGTCTAAGTTGCAATTGCTTCACGAAGTCGTTACACTTGGCTTTCAGGAGACTCCATTGACTTCAGTCCTGTCCTCCTGGGATCCCGTTCTCCAAATTCTGGGGACTCTAAGATCTAAGATATATCGAGATGGCCATCAGGTCGTCCTTTTGCTGTGCATTCGACACGTTTTCTACATCTAGGACTGTAGGAATCTCGTTGGAATTTCGGATTCCATCGGATTCCATCGGATTCCATCGGATTGTCTTTGTTTTGTTTTGGTTTTCCAGATGTTTTTTCAGTCTCAGAATCTCAGATTCAGCTTCTTCACACAGATCGAAATCAGATTTCAGCATGTTTGAAAACCTGGACCCGACCCGTCCGCTTTCTCACCTCAAAGGACAGCAGAGGTGTCGGGAGGCAATCCATCCAGGCTTTCAGACAACACCTCGCCGTAGCGCCGCCGTAGCGCTGGAAGATTTACCAACATGTTTACTCTCCAAGTACCTCCAAACATGGGCTACTCTCTGGTAAAATATCACAATTTTTGGTAAATCCTATTAAATCATCCTCATAAATGATCTATTTTCATGGGCCATGGCTTCCATAGCTATGTGAAATAACTAGAGGGATCCAGATGCCCATGATTTTGGGGCTACCCATGAAATCGTGGGTACTTGGTTCACCATTGGAAAAATAAAGAATTACCATCAGCAAATCTATGAGACTGGCACAGACCTTGGTTTTGCAGCACCATATACGGCAATCAGTGGGTGTGGCATTTGTTTGGATGAACACATCCCTGAAACTCTAGTGAAATGTGGAGTAAATGAAATGTTGGTGGGTTTACCTCTGTATGAACATGTTGTGTTTTTTGGGGTTGTGTCTGCGTATGGGCTGAGCATTTGTTTGCCAACAATCGGCAAACTACAGACTAAACCTTTTTTGGGGGTGGCTTGATTTATTTTGTCCAGTTCAATTTTTGTTGGTCCTAGAAATCAATTAGCCCAATACAACTCGATGAAATGTGTGGCCTTCTTCAGTTTCTTCAGTGTCTTCAGGTTTGATGTGCATAGCAACCGGTTGACAATTGGTAAGTTTCGTCGAAGGGAGAATGACCTACATATCAAGTATAGGTCCCCTCACTGAGATCGGCAGCTTCCGGAGAATTGTTTGGAGGGCTTCCTAGCCATTTCCGCATCCCTGAGAAACGTCGGCCATTGGGCTGGTTCCTTGCGACCACCTGGTAATCAAGCAAGGAAATGGGAAGCTGTTCGAAAGTCCCCCATGTCAAAAATAAGGTAAATTCATGCAAACAAATGGATAAAATAGGACCAATCGATTACAATCTTGGTTTCAGTTTACACTTAGCCATGGAAAATGACCTGTGGCCATGAAGATGACTTGATTAAGTATATACCCTCTGGTAATCACACGTGGCAATTGAAAATCCACCATTTCTATAGTTCCATGACTTTTCCAGTTATAAACCTCCACTTTATTCGGGGATTTACCAGCCAGCCACGTTTGATTACCAGATGGTAAATGCACTGATGTATATTATATAACGTTTTCTATAATTATCAAAATTATCATTTAGGATCTCACTATTATCCCCATTAAACCATACAAACCTATATTCAACTATACTAATTATATACCCTCTGGTAAACTAACATAGCTATGGAAAATCAGCATTTTCAATGGGAAATTCCACTATAAATCACCATGTTCAATAGCTATGTTAGTCATTACCAGAGGGTATACCATTAAACCTCCATTTTCACCCATGGCATCCACGTTGCCCAACATGGCACCACAACAAGGCTGGATCTAAATCTCGAGGGAGCGGATTCCCGGCATCCACGAGGTTCAACTCATGGCGCATGATGGCGGCAGGCGCCGCTGGGTGTAAGAAATTGGCATCCTACTGGGTGTAACAAATGGTTAATGATGGTTGATGGGATTTTAATGGGATTTCCATTGTTAATAATGGTTAGTAATAGTTAATGATGGTTAATGATGGTTAAGAATAATATATACTGGTTGGTGGTGCAATAACAATTTTGAAAAATATGAGTTCGTCAATGGGAAGGATGACATCCCATATATGAAATGGAAAATAAAAAATGTTTGAAACCACCAACCAGTCTATGAATATCTCTATGAACAACTCTATCTTGGGTATACATCTTGCTTGATTATGAACATCTCTATGAAAAGGAATTGGATTCATGGACAATGTTAAGTCACAATGATTATAATCCTTCAGGGGAACGAACATCTCTATGAAAACACATTGATGGGTATAGACGGTATAGACAATCCAACTTTGGACGCGCTCCATGTGGCAAATCCACGCTCACTATCTGTCCCTTGCACTGGTGGCGGGTACAGGTGAGTAGAAAGAAACTGACACTGAAACTTCCAAAGATATGCACATAATTCGATATTCAACCATTGCATTTTCAGGGTCAAACACATTGAACAACCCCCACTTTAGACCCATGATGCTTTGAACATCTTCCATGTCGCTGTTGTTGTTGTTGTTCAAGTGAGGATATCCCAAGCCGATGTGGTTGGAGTCGCAGGGTTGGCCAAATGGGATTTCCAGCTCATTTGATTATGATCAGTATACAAAAGATAGCATAAGCCCCTGAAAGTCATCAACAAGCCACCATTCGGATCGTATCCCCATGTCCTGAGGTTAAAAACCCTCAAAATGCTGGTTAAATCCCAATGTGTTTTGTAACCCAGCTGACCATGATTGCACTTATCCTTAATATAACTGTTGTCCAACACCCGTGTTAAACGTTTGCAAAAGCCCAATTCTAGCAACACCCCTATGACATGCCGAAAAGTAAAATCCATTGGAAAAAATCAGTGAAATGATGACTTTTCGGATCTCCCGGATCTTCGCCATTCTCTGAGGTCACCACCAAGTCAAAAATTTTGGCGTCCACGTCTGGCAGGCTCAGAAATGTCAACCCGTTTGTCAACCCTGGAGAAACCTTGACCTCTGGTTGGTTTAGTTGGAGGGAATCCATTTTAAGAGCAACTTACCCTCTAAGACTCCAGTTTTCACTTACGTGGCGGAAAATCCCCGAACTGGAGGTCTAATGAGGTCCAGTTAGCTGGGAAAATCATCGGTCACTAAAATGGGGGATTTGTAAGTGCCACAGTTTTTTGAGGAGTGACTCCCACAGACTCTTGACCTTTTCGATCACATCGAAAAGGGATTTACCTATACTTACCGATCAAACATGGTGATTTTCCAGTTCGCTACGTGAAAAATTACGGTACCAGGCTGAGTACATTCCCCCAACAAAAATCGCCCAAAAATCTCACATCCAGGCACCAAAGAGACGTCCAAACTCTTCATCAGCAGCTTGTCTCTCCAATGCCTGAAGCGTCTTTGCCATCACATCGTCGAAAACATGAATCAAATATTGAGTGCGAACTGAATGTGTATATATATATAATTATATATATATATAGTTATATACAATTAAATATTATATATAATTATATAGTTATATATAATTTATATATAATTAAATAATTAGATAATATGTACATATGTATTATAAGTATTTTTTATAATTAGATGTATATATATATGTATGTATATATATATATACAGTAATATGCATGTGTGTATATATATATTTTTAATATGTAGATAGATATATATATATATATGCATGTATCAGGATTTGAAGCCAATCTGAAAATAGAATATTAAACACGCATATCGTTGTAATTCAGTCATGTCCTTCCTGGTGCTTAAAGTGGATTGTCAACTCCAGGTTTCAGGCACTGAAAAAATCATCATTGACATATGCATGTAATAATTGCAATATGGACAGAATATGTACATATTATTCCATCTATAGAACGTGTATCTATAACATGTCTATTCTATCTAGTTTTCTTTCTATCTATGAAAATGCCTGTTCTTGTGTACGTCAATTCACCATTTCATTCATGGAACTTTGCACCAAAGCCGTTAACAACAACTGTCACCATTGGCAAAATATCCTCAACTACGGTAATCTTATTCCCCGAATATCAAACACCCCCATCGTATGGTTCCAAATATATCCAAATATGTTGTTTCATCCCCTACCTTTTTCCCTGCTTTTTACTCTGCTTTCGGGGGTCAAACTTCTTCTGCCCAAAAAAAATAATGGCCTCGCACAAAAAGATCACCGCGGGTGGAAGTTTCGGATACCAACCTTGGCGATGTAATGGGATGAGACTAGGAAAACCATGAAAAAAAAAACACGTTTTTTCCTGAGGTTTCATTGGTCTTGTTGGGGAAATCTTCACCCGAAACCATTGAACCCATTGTTTTTACCATGAAATGTAGAGGTTTCATGTAATTTTTCCCTTAAACCAATACTGATAATCAATCGTGTAAATGAGACCAAATATGTCTCTGATCCAGGATTAGTTTTTGACCAAAAATGCTCCGTGCATCTCGAATATCTACCATCTCGACCATGTTTGCGGTAAAATTTGGGAAAAAATCTATATTGGGGTTTGGCAATGGATGTTTCCCCACGTTGAAACCCTTCTTTTTTGATCCCAAAATCAGGCGACACGGTCTTGTCGGTGCCCATGTTTTTTGTCCGCCGAGAGAGATTGGGCTGACAGCAATATGGGTGTGTCTGAAAATGGTGTGTACCGTATACCTCAAAATGGCTGTTCTGGACAAATGATGAGCAACATTTATATATCAACATTTCATGTGGTACCCATGGGCCCATATCTCAGATTTTGGGCCAAGAGGCGCCCAGTGGTTTTGTCCATGTAGTCCACACCAAAGGTGTTGCAAATCGCCCTGGCGTCACCAAAATAGAACGGCCGACTGGGACGGGTGGAAAACTGCCCCCATGACACACCCACTTCGTCCGAGATTTTTTTCCTTTCACCCGAGATTTTTTGGTACTTTCCCGGTCAAGAGCCAACTCACTCTGCCCGGAACTTCTTCGCCTGCACAGCTTGGTAGCCGATGTTTTTGCAAAATGAATAAAGGCCGGTGAAACTGAACTACACCAGCTGGCTTTCAACTCTTCTTTTCGCCAAAACAAACATAAATATGTTGATGATGTTGTGAGAACCATAAGGCTGTTGAGGCTGTGTGCAGGGGTTGAATCCCCATGAGCCACCACCAAGGCCTACTTTGAAAGAAACGATTTTGGGTATCGTGATGTTGATTTTGGACACAGACCCTTCCAATACCCGCAAGAAAATGGTAACAAGTACTAAATCTATGGAATAAAACATCATCTTTCTGGATACTTGGAGGGCATATATCTTTGACATACTCTGTTCGGTTCTCGCGCCGCGCCTTCTTCATCTGCTTCACAGTATCCAGATCTTTCGCATTACGCTTGCGATGGTCGATAATCTCTTCCCGTCGTTTCTCTCGAATCTGAAATCGATAGAAATCAGGCATTTCCTGATAGGGAACTGACAAATGCACGCCACTCGAAGGCACCGCAAAAAGTCACCGACCTGCATGTCATAGAATTCCCCCAACATTGTTTCGGAATATGTTGGAATCCATGCATGTTTATTCCCCACCTGCCAGGTGAGGGTTGTTAGATTTTATCAGAGTTGTTGTCCTCCTCTTCCTCGCCATCCTCCTCCTCCTCCTCCTCCTCCTCGCCTCCTCCTCCAGTTTCTCCTCGACCATGTAGGCATCAACTTCCACCTCAACTTCCGCCTTGCCAACTCTTCGCCAAGCTCTTCGCCAACTTCCCAGCTCAGTGCGCACCGCTGGACCTCAACCTGGGAGCTTCCCAGCTCAGTGTGCACCGCTGGACCTCAACCTGGGAGGTTCCCAGCTCAGTGTGCACCGCTGGACCTCAACCTGGGACCTTCCCAGCTCAGTGTGCACCGCTGACCTCAACCTGGGACCTTCCCAGCTCAGTGTGCACCGCTGGACCTCAACCTGGGACCTGCCCAGCTCAGTGTGCACCGCTGGACCTCAACGGCCAGATAGAATGCCAGAAGATATGCCAGATAGAAAGCTATAAGATATGCCAGATAGAATGCCAGAAGATATGCCAGATAGAATGCCAGAAGATATGCCAGATAGAATGCCAGAAGATATGCCAGATAAAGTGCCAGAATGTTTGCCAGATAGAATGCCACAAGATTTGCCAGATAATATGCAAGAAGATATGCCAGATAGAATGCCAGAAGATATGCCAGATAGAATGCCAGAAGGTATGCCAGATAGAATGCCAGAAGATATGCCAGATAGAATGCCAGAAGGTATGCCAGATAAAGTGCCAGAATGTTTGCCAGATAGAATGCCAGAAAATTTGCCAGATAATATGCCAGAAATTGCCAGAAGATATGCCAGATAGAATGCCAGAAGATTTGCCTGATAGAATGCCAAAAGATTTGCCAGTAACAAAATGTATAAATGTCATGGTGGGGATCACACGAAGTAAAGTTTTTTTTTTTACCAGGCGCAACCCTGTCCTTGTTCTTCTTTTTCTTGCCCCCAGCTTGCACCGGAGCTGCTTTGATGGCTTCCCCAAAGACCCCGGTGTTGCTCCTGGGCCGCGCCGCCCCGCGGATGGTGAGACCATCCGGCGTTCGGGTGATGCCACTGATGACTTTTGTGAAGCCATCGTCGTCCACCTCGGACCGGGCTCTTGGGATGACTCAAAGCTGGTTAGTAACCATAGTCATTGTGTGGTGCGTTAATAATTACACCCGTTTAAAGTATGAGAGGCCAGCGTTCTCAGCGCCCACAAATCTCGTAAAAAATGCTATGTTTTGAGCATTTTCTGACATGTGTGTCCAAGTCTGTAAGCAATATGTACTGTTGCCTTTTCCAGCAGTTTTAAGACATGTTCTCATTGCTGCAGGTTGTCTATCAACGGTTCTATGTCATTTAGCCAGTGAATATCAGAAAGAAAATTCAATTTTGCCCTGTTGCGCCATGCTCAAATGATAGGGGTGTGTTTGCTTCTATGTTGCAGGTTTTTATAGCAAGCATGAACAAGAGGAAACAGCACTTTTGATTGACAGAAGATTTCATTTTGTCCCCAAGCAGCATTGCATCTTCCTGACAGAGCTCCCTACAGAAAGAGATATGGAATGTTTTGCAAGGGTAAGCATATTGTTCCTTTGAAAAATATTGTGTTATTAAACCCTAGTACAGCATCAACTCAGATTCTAAGGGCCACAGCATGCTTCTCATAAGTCATCGTTGAAAATTTGAAAGAATGTGGCATTTCTTGAGGAAGTTGTGGCATGCCTCTATGCAACATTCTTCTATAGAGGGAACAACATTCCTTTGAGAAAGTGTAAAGCAAGACCCTGAGATGTGCATAGCATTCCTTTAGAACAAGTGCGTTCTGTCTTCCATATATTTTAATGAACATATGATAGTAATTCCTTCCATAGAGGTCGTAGTCCTTTTAGAGAAGAGTAGCATTTCCTTAAGATAAAATATGCATATACATTAGTGTTTTTCAGAAAAGCGGCATTGCTATCAGACAATACTTGATGGTTTCATGAAATCTTGATTTTAAACAACGGTATTATGCCATATTACTTCGAAAAACTATTATTCATTTGGAAAATATAATATGATTTTCAAATAACATAATTCACTGTATGATATTATTAATTATATATATATGCAGTTACCCACAATCTTCCTTTCAAAAGTATGTAGCATCTCTTTGAGAAGTAGCCTTCAAGACACACAGCAGTCCTAGTGACAGAGTATGGCTGAGTATGGTGTGATTTACAGTAAGTTGTTGTACAAAAGGGAACCCTTTCATATATACAACAATCCCTTTGAAAGAGGGTGATGTGTCTGTAATAAAGCGCAATGCATGAAATTGCCATTTGAAGAAGTATAGTGTTCCTTGCAGGAAATATAGCATTATTTTGAAAGGGTATTCTTCAATAAGCAGTTGCTCTTTCAGAGATCACAGTGCAGCATGCCTTTATGCAAGTTTCCTAGAAAAGGATGCAATATATTATATTTGTTCATTCCTTTGAAAAGAGGGTGGTATTCCTTGCTCAGAAGAAAATTACACAAACAGAGCCACCACCTCCAGAAAATCGGAAATTAGGCCTTTCTGTTCAGGAAATATGGAGAAAACATTTTCAAGGTAAAACCACCCCTATAGACAGGCGGTACAATAAGCAAAACCACCAAAAAAACACAAAAACCAAAAAAAACAAAAAAAACAAAAAAAACAAAGATCCAGCAACTATGAGCCCCCCAACCTTTCTCTGGAATCTTTGGTTTTTCGTTTTTTTTTGTTTTTTTTGTTTTTTTGTTTTTTTCGGTTTTCAGTTATGGAGTTTAATTTTGTGTAGGGAATTTTGTTCTTGGGGTTTGCCTGTGGGAGATGCAATGTTGAAGTGACAAGTGCAGCCATATTTTTTTTTCTGGATGGGTAGATTCATGGAGAAAAGTGGCAAAAGGAGACTGCCCAAAACGTGGGCGCTCACAACGCTGCTTTCAGTAAAGTATATATATATATACTGTATGTATATATATATATATATACTGTATATATACTGTACATATATATATATATATATACTGTACATATATATATATATACTATATATATATATACTGTATATATATATATACTGTGTATATATATATATACTGTGTATATTAGGGATAAGCAACGAAGGGATTTGCTAGCGCAGGCTCGACCAGTTTCTAAGTGGGATGATGATCCAAGTGCCACAAACACTGTCCAGCTCCAAACACCGTCTCAGGTATTTGGAGCACTGGGGCATATAATGGCATATATATATATATACATTCATAATATGATAGTTTGGAATGGGATATGAATATATATATATATTCATATATATATATATAATCACATATATATATATAATCATATATATATATATAATCCTATATCTATATATATATATGTATATGTATATATGAATCATGGTGAGAAGTAGCCAAATTGCTGGATTCTATATGGAAGAACTATTGACATCATCCATTGCAAGCTGGAAAATCACAGTTGTTCATGGAAAAATCGCACATAGATGGACGTTTTCATGAGGCCAGCAAGCCAGGAATAGTGACTAAAAACATCAGCATTTTCAGGGCAATAAATCTTATTGGAGAATCACCCTGGAACACATGCTTGGTGAATTGTGGGCCATAGGGACACCTATTTTGATGTATTTTGTTGGAGGTGTGGGTCATGTTTTGGAACCAAATTTGACAAATTCCAAGGTGATGTTCCATCTTTCAGGTTACCCAGTCGGAATCAAATATGGTCGACACATTCGTTAAGCAACATGGATGTTGATTCTACACATGTTTCTTCAAACCAAAAATATATACTTGAGACTTGGACCTTTGATAGCATAGAGTGATAGGACAATGCAAGTCACTTCCGATTGTGATAGAAAGTCAAACATTTCAATCGGCAAAAACACAAACATAGACAAAGTGATTGCAAATAATCCAAAGCCGCCTGCGTCTCTCTAGCTAAACGCTTCTTTTCCTCCTGCTTCTCATCATAGTTGGCCATCCACTCGTCGATTTCCCGCCGCAACTTCTGAGGGTCCTGAGATGCTGTTGAGTCAAAACCCTAGTACCGGGTACCCAAACGGTAGCCCAACAATAGCATAACATAATATTAAAAAATATATATAATAGCTATATAGTTAATGGATGTTTATTCCCCCAAAGATGATGAAATAGGTGTTGACCCCAGTTCTCTTCTCAACGTGGCAAATGCTCCAGCGCTATTTCGCTACGAAAATGGCAGAATGTCACAAGGTGCTTGCATCTCAGTCTTTCTTGGACTTGAAGCACAATGTCAACCCCAGATTGATAAACCCTGACCATGAATACCCTCAAACTTTCAAACTATAAACTTGGTACCCCTGCTAGCAGGAAACTCGGGGAGTTCGCAATTCCTGGGTTACAGTAAGCTGCGGCGCAAGCTTCTGGATAGATCGTTTTCCTCGCTCTCAAACACTCTTTCAGCACTGCCGTCGGTGGAGGAAGCACCGCATGAGAGATCTGCCCTGTCGCTGCATCCAGAGCCTTCTGAAGCGACAGCACCTGGTAAAACTCACGGGGCCCACGGTGCCCACGTGTCTGGGTCGTGGATCAAGCCTTGTACAACCGGACTTTGGGCCACTAAATTCAAGGTGGAAACCCTCTGGTAATGTGCCATGGCAGTGGAAAAAACTCCTATTTACAGACTATAAACGATACTCATCGATTTTCCCATTAAAACTTCAATTAACGGAAATTGTCCATTACCAAGTTTGATTACCAGAGGGTCCAACAATGAGACCCTACAGGATCAAGTCCATGGGATGCCTCTGAGGAAAGGACGGATCATTTCATGGCATTTAATTTCTAGGACCTATATAACTGAAACTATACAGACTATACATTTTATGGTTCTTTCCCTCACCTGGGCAGGAAAAACACGAACGGAAAGCGCATCCCAGAGGTGCCGAGGTGCCGACAAGCATAACATAGCCAATCTATGCAAACGCCACGAAAATTTATCCATCGATCTGGTTTACCCCGATTTTCGATGGTCAATTTCCCAAAATCTCGTTGGGGGAAGCACCCAAGTTTGTTAAATCCCTAGCCATGTAGCCAGGGCTTCCCCAGTAGCACCTCTTGAAAAACGATCTTCGCAAAAACCACGTGGAGCTTCACATGGTCCTCCCTCTGTTCGACCTGTCACGCTGCGGTCAAATCATCCCAGAACTTGGAAAAATACCTTTTCTTCAACTTCAACTAACTTTAGAAGCTTGAACAAAGTGAAACTTCTATAGTGATTGTAGTTGAGGTTCAAATTCAAGTGCAACTTTTGATTCTGTTTCAACTTCAGCTTTAGGCTTTCAAGTTCACTTTACAGAAAATGTGGATTTGTCTGAAAAGATGGTTAAACCTATAGATCCTATTCTTTATATTTCTTTATCATGTTCAAACTTAAAATGGCAAGATTGAATATCACACAGTTTCAGACAAACCCATATGGACGTTTCCTGAAAGGGTACCCCCAAATCATCCATTTATAGATGGTTTTTCCATATAAACCATCCAGCTATTAGGGTACTCCCATTTATGGAAACCCCCATATGGATCCATATGGAATAAAAAAGAACAACGTCCCCCGGAACAGAGACACACCTTGGGTGCTCGCTTTTCCACGCATTTGAGCTCCACCCTCCTGGGAGATGCCCGTGAACTCAACACGCGTTGACAGGGCAGTTTTTTTAGCCTTGTATAATCTGTTGTAACCAGGGATATTCCATGTATAATAGAATTAAATCCAGTTGTACACAAGATGTTTATTCATGTTTTTCCATGTTATTCCCACTTACTTGTTGCAATGCACCCCCAAAGTAGTTTACCCACGTAATCTTCCCTTTCTATTCTGGGTTCTTACTGACTCACAAGCTGCTTCAGGCAAGAAAAGAACTAAGGCTGAAACTCCGAATCACCGTGAAGGAAGGGCATGTCGGAATTAAATCGTCTTCATTTTCCATTTAGAAAATGCCAATGACAAAGTGGGTGTGGTTCAACAGAGCACCAATGAAAGAATCCGAGCATCTCCACAGGACCAAAGCTGGAGAAGCTTTTCTGCAGTTGTGCCTCTGTGGTAAAGGTATCCAAATGGGTCACGAAGAGAGTTCTTGGAGCACTTTCCTGAAATCGGTCGAAGGGGAACATTTACAAGGGCTACATTCTGTTATGGTACTGTAAAACATGGTAAAACCATGATTTGAATGGCAAGAAGCCTGGTTCACGATGACAAAACTCTTCTTCATTGCTGCATTGGTAAAAACCCTGGTTTCCTGATGATTTTACCCCAGTTGTGGGACCTGGCTGAAGATCATCTTCAAATCCCTCAGTTTTACATCAACCCCAGATTTTCCATAGTTTTCCCAGGTCTATGGCATGGTTCCCCAACAAAAGAACTGTCCGGATGCCCGCCGCTCCTTCTCTGCAGGATCTCTGGCTTCGTGCTTCTTGACCAGAAGGGTCCTGGCGGTGTTGAAATAGAAATTACTGGGATTCTCAAGTACAGCAACCCCCAAACAGATGCCGAACTGTGTTTCCAGCATGGAACTGTGTTTGATGATGTTTGTTGCTATGTTCCACTTCATTTGCAGGTGTGCAGTGTTTTTTCCTTTTTGGGGTATACTATATTATTGTAATATATGCTATATGTACGATCATCATGAAGTAGATAGAATATGGAAGTTTCAAAGATATTCAGATTTTACCGACGATTTATGTGAATTTTCATGATTGATTTACTTCAGGATGACTGTAAATACAAGCTATGATATTCATGATTGTTGTACATGGTTATATAATGTTATATAAATATATTTATATATATGTGATATGATTAGAATAGGTCTTGTATACTATGTGTGATTATTTCAAGCCCGAACAAGATGGACAAGTAGTTTACCAAGAAATGGGTATGTATATATATATATATATATGGGTATGGGTCAAAATTAGGTACCCCAATAATTGGATGGTCAATACTAAACTAGACTAACATCTGTGGTCCCCTAGGTCTTCCATTTTGACCCACATCCATATATATACACATATATACACATATATATATATATACCACGTTATGTTTCTATCTTTTTGGGTGATTGCAATCTTACTATCTTAACAAACAACAGTGGTATATCTCCGCAGCTGGCTAAATCGTGAGGCCTTGATGCCTGGATTGATCCAACTGAAGTGATGTTCCACCATAAACCTAAACGATTTAGCTTAGCCGGTTACCCTACCTTTTGGGGCACACCTTTGTGTGTTGGAAATGATGGAAATGCAACAATATTCATCATTTTTGGATATGGTTATCATTAAATCACTTAAATGCCTCATGCAAATGGAAAGATAATCGGGGCATAGTTCACTTTGAGGTTTATCACATGAGTAAACTGTCCCAGAAATTGGGGTTGAGCATTGGATCTGACTTATTACTCTGGGGGCCTGTACGGTTTGGAATACGGTATATGCAATACCAGGCGGATGTGATTAAAATAACAGGCGAAACTACTGTCCCCCCCAACTACCAGAGACCCCGTCAAATAGAGGGTTGTAAGACCACTTTACTCTAAAAATGCGCTCACAGGTTGATTAGTTTTGGTATATGTTCATTCTGGGGATGGTACTGTGGACGGAGGAAATCCTGCACCAGGCAGGGTAACTTTTGGTAACTATGAAACACGGTAAATATGTAATGGGATTTTATAACGGGATAAACCATCTACCAACTGGTGCAGGATTTCTTCCATCCGCAGTATTTCATATAATGGGGTACACCCAATCATAAACGGGTCCCATTAACCAACCATGACTGAAAATCATTTTACATCACTTCTGGGGGTATAGTATACCCAACCATGCACAAACTTCTTTTGAGGATGATTGATAGTTATCCCATGATTCATATCCTACCCCCAAGCTTCCAGTTACCTTTGGGACAGGTAACCACTTCAGTTTCCTATGAGACAGGTAACCACTTCAGTTAGTTGGCGGAACCAAGGTTTGATGTAGCGATTGGAACCGTGACAAAACAGGTTGGAACCGTGACAAAACGCATTGGGACAGTGAACATGTTCACCTGGGAACCGTTAGAAAATGAGTGGAACCGTGATAAGCCAGTTGCTTCTATTTGTGGTTCCTCGCTGGCAGCTGGTTCCTGAAAAAACCGGCGCCGAGGCCTAGTTACCTATGGGAAAGGTTACCAGGAAGACTAGGGCAGGGTACTACAGTATCTATATCTCTATTATTGAGTCTACCACATTAGTTCATATCCTCCTTACCGTGACAATGATCCGCGAGAAGCATCCGCCTGGTGACGGGCGACCCTGCCACCATTGGCAGCCGCAACAGCTTGTAGCCACGCAGGCCATTGGACTGGGCGTTGCCACCGGCGTTGCCGCCGTTGCCGCCACGCGGCTTCCCACGCGCCATGGCGCGATGACGCGGGCACGCCCGTGTGGTTGGTGGGAAACCTTGGGAAAGCAGAAAAGCGAAATGGGATATCTAAACAGGATAGTAAAAAATCCTTTGATGTATAGGTCTAGGTCAAACCACCTAGATGCGATGGGTGTTTCACTGAGGTACACCAATGTTCAAAGAACTCAAGTGATCAATTCCCGCAAGGCCCCCTAGTCCTGCGGGTTCCTCAATGTTCAGAAACACATGCATTGATTACATGTACAGAAACACTTTAAGCGGTTCTTATGGCAACCAGCATTTTTCTTGACGAAAAACCTGTGATAAACTTTGAAGACATCGTCAGCGGGGTTAGACTGAAGGCAGCTGTCGATCTCGAGCAAAAGTGGGGCAAACCCAAAAGTAAGATCAACGTTATTCCTCCCCCTAACTGGTCTTTAACGGGAATTTACTTCCGCAAAAGTTGGGTTTAGTGATTGGTATAATGTAATAATAATAATAACAATAATAATAATATTATATTAATAATGATAATAATATATGTATGTACTTACAACACATATACTAACAACATGTTGAGTTGCGAGTGGACAATGATGCCTGATGCATAGCATGATAGAACCCGACTCTGAGTCTAAATCATGATCATAGCATGTCGGATGTCACTTGTCATCTCCCCAAGTAGCAAAGCCTCACTTGATGTGGCCTCAAGAACACACTCTTCCAGGATTGAATCCATCGGAGCAGGGCAAACGGATCCTTGTATGATTTGAGATTACTGGCTGAGTAACGCAGCCAAATGGTGGTTTCCATGCATGGGGGTACCCCAAAATGGATGGTTTATAATGGAAAGTCATATATTTAAATATATTAAAATGGAAGATTTGGGGATTTAGGGGTACCCACCCCCTTCTATCTGCAACGAAATCATCCGTCAGCCGATCTTTCATGTGAGCGACCCCATAAAAGGATGGGCCATGAAGGATGAAGGATCCAGACACTGCAGAGAGTCCAACAAAACCCATATGTGCGACGGTCAAAACTCAATTCATGTGGTGAGGTCATGGCATCGCTTCATAAGGCCCCCTATCGCTACACACAGTCCCAGCACCCTTTTCACCAACTAGGCAGAATTGCTGCTAGAAGAGGAGGATCCAGATGAGGAATCGGATATTCCCCTTGCGATGGTATCTCCAGGGAAATTCAAACTTTTACTTGATCACCAAGGCTGACGTCGACAGCTTCAGCTAGACACCAGCCGGACTCACTGCAGGTCATCTGACCTCGGGGGCTGCCCTTGGCTTGTGTTGGCTTGTCTTCGCTTGTCTTGGCTTGTCTTGGCTTGTCTTGCCTGTGCTGCCTTGTTTCCGGCGCCTTTTTTTCTTCACCCCGCCTCCTTTGCAACCTAATAACACGCCAAAATGAATCGGCAAAACCCTGACCAAATGAACCCTTTAAGAACTAACCCAGTAAGAACTTGAGGGTACCCTTGTTCATACTTCCCATATTTTTCCACCTATAGCACAAGTTGTATAGTTTCAAGTTTCAAGTGACCATGTGGGGCACTCCCTAATTTCATGGATTTCAGGTATCGCTCTGGGTATCGAGGGGTATCGCTTCGGGCATCGCTACGGGGACCAGAAAATGTGTGATCTCAGGTGTATGTTTCAAGTGACACGAAATTCTGACAAGCTCCATGTTGCAATTCTACTCCTGGACAGTGGCTTTGGAGAAGCGTCCGTGACCGCACAAGGATGCTTTTTCAACATATCTCAGCACGGTCACTATCTGAATCAACATCATCACCATCACCATCATCATCAGCATCATCACCATCATCAAGCTCATGATGCGTTATGAATTAGTTTCTTGCATACCTTATAGATCAACATACCCCAATATATCAATATTGTTTAATGTAACTATCTCATATATACTTGACGACAGGCCATCTTGCAACTACCCAGGAAGACCAGCCCACTGCGACTGCTCCAGTGTCGCACTCTGACATCAAAAGATTGGAAAGTCATGCGCCCAACAGGAAGCTTCAATCATAAACAAAGTCTAAAAAGAGGTATCGCTACATAAGGCCCCCTATCGCTACACACAGTAAATCACATATTTTGAGTAGTGATGGCGGATCGTAATTGAAGCCTTTCATAGCGTCTTTTGACCCTTGCTCATATCTATCCGTCAATTAGAATATCCTCATAACATGGTGGGTGAATCCACAAACTTAAAAAAACGCCATACATGTACCATGTTTTGTATTCCATCTTGGAAAACTCCTCGACCCCGCTCGTTCATCACATGTTAAAACCAGGACCAAAGTATATTCCACATTTCATCGTATCCCAGGAAATGTTCCATCAAAAATGCCATGCTGATTGGCAACAAATCCCGGTGTATGTCAACCACTTTCAACCATATATTTAAAAAAAAAAACATCCCCAACCCGAACAACAAATGCGTCAAACATCCATTGAAAGAAATACATACAGTTCAACCCTCAACCCAAAAACAAATCAAAATCAACCACTCCGTAAACATCCAGCTTTCAACGCCATATATAAAATTTCAATAAATGTCTATCAGATTTCAACCATCAACCCAACAAATTCCCATACCTCCACCACAAAAAAATAATACTAAATTCATCCAGACTATATTAACCAAAGAAGTTGGTTTGTAAACCCGATGAACTGGTTCGACAAATATTTCCCATAAACATCCATAAACCAGAATTAGTTCACCAAATAACCAACTTAGCTATCGTGAAATCACCAATCACCTATCAATGCCATGTTATATATATATAATTATATATAATTATATATATATATATATTTATTATATAGTTTTTCCCCATGGTTTGCTGGTTAAACTATGTTAAACTAACCATGGCTTTCAGTGACCTCACCTCCGGTTTTGCGGTTCCCGATGCGTTCCCCGCGCCTCACGGGTGCCCCGAAGTTCACCGGAAGATCGCTGCCGCGCTGCTGCGCATCTTGACGCTGGATCACCTGAAGCTGAGAAGATCGTTCTGATTGTCTTAACTACAGTTATTATATAGTTATTACCCATAGGATCCATGTATGCTGTATATGGTAACATGGATCCCATCAATATACCCCAAATGTTTGCATATATACCATACATGGATCCTATGGGTTATATGCCACATACTATAAATTGTTATGTTATTACATGGTTAAAAAAAATATTGGTTATTATTGTTATACATTATTGTTATTATTGTTATGTGTATAATATAATGACATGGGTCTCGGCCAAAATCCTGCCAGTTCGTGGACTTGTGTCGGCGGAAGTTTGGGTGTTTTCTTCCACCTTTGCCATGGATACTTGTGTGGCTATCGTGTTCGCTTCACTCATCGGAGTGCCATTTGTTGAATTCGCAACGCCTTTGACATCCTTTGACCGGAACTTTACCATTTCTCTTGGTCCAGTGCGTTTCTGTCATGACCAGGCCCCCTGTTTCGCCGATCACTGTTTTGTACCTCTCCTCCTACATGCCAGCTGAGGATTCGGGAACTCTGATCCGACTTTGCTGCATTGACGGGCAGCTTGGCGGACTGCTGTCTCGAAGCAGTTGTTCTCATCTACTTTGGCGCCCTATTGTTGGATGTGGCTTTGGGTCACTGTTGTCTTGGGATTTCAGTTCGGGAGAACCTTGAACTACGGTGGCTGAGATATGCCCGCGTGCCAAGTGGGATGGAAAGAGGTAATTGGATGCTGCTTCGTGCAGCTGGACCTGGGATGGAACTTTGTAGCAACGATTTTCCTCCAGATTTGCGCCGTCCAGATCACTGCTGATGACCATGTGAACACAAAGATCACACATTTTTTATTTCTGCGGACTGGGTCGAGGGGACCTGGGGCTTGAGAGCACCGCATTCTATTTGCAGCTCTTCTTCAGGAGACCTGAGCCTCCGCGCCGCGCTGTCACAGCGTTTTTCCCATGTCAATTTGTCCGGTCTTGTCAGCACCAATCTGACACACGTGCTTTAGACCCTGTTCCTGCTTCCAGGGCTTGATCTTGCTGCTAGAGTGTATGTTGCTAATGATCCCAAACAGTTTGTTGAATATTCAGGGAAGTTGGCTGAGGGAAATCCTCTCAGCCGCTTTTGATGTGGGTGTGAAGCAACCTGTTTGTGCGTGATCTTACGCCCCGGATCATGGTGTCGTCTTAGTCTGTGCGGCTCTGACAACACGTCCAAGCTCATAGGAGCGGAGAGACTCTCTCTCTCTCTCTCTGCCGCGCGCAATAATATGATCGATTATATATATATATACCTGGATCTTCCAGGTATGCGTTGTTTTTGCTCTTTTACTAAAGGCAGAAATGTCTGTTGTATTTTTTCAGAATCGCCTTTTGTCTTCAGAATCGCCTGTCGGCAAAGCATGAAACCGAAACTGCCCTAACCAAATTACCCCACTAGACATGTTTTGATTTACCCAAATTACCTTAATACATGTTCATATATGTCTTGGTTTGCCCAAACTATCCTACCACATTTCTTGGCTTAAGTTTAACTATCCCAACAAGTTTCTTTGCTTGTACAAATTATCCCAATGCATTTCTTGGTTTTGCCAAACTATCCCAGTAGAGTTGTGTTTTACCCGAACTATTTCATGTTCCTATCCTCAGCTGTCACACACCGGCTTGTTGGAATGCAAGAGTTTGCTCTTGGCCTGAACATGTGGTTGAATTTGGCCTTGGATGGGCTTTAACTGGAATATGTTCCTGCCCCAATCAAAAACGTTGGCCGGGTAAAGTCGCCTTTAGGTCGCGAAAAGTCGCCGTTTGGTCGGGAAAAGTCACCCGCTCCGTTATTTTCTTTTGAGGGTTACAAACTTCCAGAAAAAGACACTGTAATTCCAGCAAAACCCAATTCAAAGGCATTCCAACTAGTTTTCCCATTCTTGCGGGAGAGATCCAAATGACCATGCCTGGGCTAAATGCCCTGCATTGGTCAGAACCCAAAATCAAAGATATAGGAAACTAAGGATAATTCCAGGTAAGAAAGCGTGGGCTGTGCTACTGCCCTGTGTTGTTGTCAAACGGTTGCTTTGCAGCTTGGCGATGTCTTACAAGCAAGTATGACAGTAAACCCAGTTTCACCCATAGATCTGAAGGAATTTGGTGAACAGATTGCCTTATCTTTGGATTGGCATATTTCGCCTAGAAAACATTGAGAGATTTCTACCACCATCAAAAAGGTGGCCCTGATTACTTGAAATCGCAAAAGTCGCCCGTGGTCGGGTAAAGTCGCCTTTTAACCACAAAAGGCAAAACTTCTTCAAAAGGCAGAAATTATGCACACTGGGGAAGATGTAGGTAAAATATGTGATGTATATACATATACATATACATATACATATACATATACATATACATATACATATACATATACACATACACATACACATACACATACACATACACATACATACATACATACATACATACATACATTTTAGAACTGGTAACGGACCCTGAAACACCTGAATGGTGTCCCTGACACCCTTCCCAAGCTGCACGGCAGCGCTATGTTGTTCTTTTCCTCCAGTTGATTGCACAACGTCCAATCGGCCACGATCGTAACGCCTTACCAAGCACCGAAGGTAAGGAACCAGGCACAAGCTATCCTCACCCTCCACTACGGGCTCACAGAGCCACCCAGCTGCAAGAGAATGATAAGCTGTAACCCTTACTCTTTGGATCTCAAGTGAAATGAAGATGATGTGCATTGCGAATCGGCAGTGTTGATTTCACATTCCCACAACTTCAAAAGATTCGCAATGAATGGATGTTACTCAGCATGCACATACTTCCCTGGATGAAATTAGGACGACTTGGCTTTTCCTCTCATCACTCCCTATATGTGGTGGCGCTTTGTCTCAGCCATTGTAACCTAGATCGAGAGTCGGATCGGGCTTTGAGGATTTCACTTTCATCATGTAAACAGTATTTTCCAAGCTGGAGGCACTCCCTGAGCATGTAATTGTCCATCACTTTGGTGAGGCTATCAGCCACTTGGGCTCCGGAAGGCACCCACCTGATCTGTATCCCATTCTGAAGGTGTTCTTTGATAAGCTTTGCTTGTAACAACGTACGAAACTCTTGGCAACTTGGTGGAGCTGTCCTACTTATCAGGTCGTAGAGGGATTTACAGTCTGTAGTTATTATTCCACTGTTAGATTTCGGTAATTTCTTGAGGAGTGTTTGAACTTGATCTGGTGGTGTTGGTGATTCGGTGTCTTCCATGGGTGGTATGGCTGCAAACGCTGGTGGCAACTGCAACAAGGTCTTATCAGCTTGTTTCCATGGCAATTTGGTGTCAAGAATCCATCCCCAGTATAGTCTGACCCAGGAAAGCATGTCAACTGCTCCTGCCAGTGCCATTGCTTCTGCGGACAATGTGCTGACAGCTACCTTCTGGATTTTCTTAGAATGCCACAACATAGGGTTGACGATACTGGTTCTGTTCTGACCTAACAGCCGATGGCACGCCATGATCACCATGCCTTGATGTGAATCCTGAACTTTCTCTGATGCGAATGATGCATCTGAGAACGCAGCAAATCTGAGATCCTCGGTCTTGATGGGTTGTATTTTGATAGTGACATTGGAATGAACTTTGGCTTCATGGAGTGTTTTATTGGCCTCAGTTAAAGTGGATACTTTGGCTTTATTGATATGTGATTGAAGGTACCCAAGTCTACTGCACAAGTCCGGTCTTGAATTCACAGCAGCGTATTGGAGCGAACCAATCAAACCTCGTAAGGACTGTCGTTCGTCATCTGTGACTGGCTCATCAGGATGCACTCTGCGGGTTCGTGGAATTGAAATTGGTTGTATGTCATTGATGTATTGTGTCTGGTTGATGTGTATTGAATTGTCAGGTTGTTGTTCAATTCTGAGTCCAGTGAAGGTGAAATTTCTTTTCTTGTGTGATCCAAATGGAAACATATCGGCTAGAGCTTGCAATCGCCTTTGAAAAAACTCTGACCCACAACACAATCCATCGTCCACATGGACCCCAACAATGCCCTCGGTCATGCCAGACTTTGGATGTTCCAAAATGAACGCGCACGGATCAAATGGACTTGGTGTGAACCCCAGTGATTCCAGCCCACGCTTGAGTTCCATGAACCAGAGGTAGGGTGCATCCACTCTTCCATAGGCTCCTTTCAACAGTCTGAGAACTTCATTGGGTCTCATTTTCATCTTTTCTCGAAGTTCAGCTGTGGGTTCAATGCCAAGTATTCGATCTCCTTGTTCTTGTCCCCTCAAAAAGGCCGTCTTAATATCAAAAGATTCGATATCCCATCCCTTTGAAGCAGCAAGTTGAAGAATGAGCATTCGTGACAGCTTTGACATGGTCGGACTGTCTCGAGGAATCTCATGCACTAATGGGTCTTCGTATCCTAAGACAACTAATCGGGCTTTGGGAACATGTTTCGGCTGATCGGCTTTGGCATCATCTACCGGCTTCCATGTCAAGATCCAGCGGCATCGCAAGATGTTTTCTTCTGGAATTTGGTGGCGAAGAACTTTGGCTACTGTTTCGGTTGACAACCAGCTTTCGATTTCCTTTTGCTTGGCTTGTTGAAACAACTCCTTCTCGGCTGATGACAACTGAGACATTTTCACTTCGCTACGTTGTCTCTTCGCAGCAGACACCAGAAAACTCATCTCATGAGGGTCACTCTCTTGACGCCAGCGGTCAACATCGCATTGTGAGATGTTGACTTCGAATTTCCATGCCATGTCATCGACAAGAGTAAAGCAGTCTTCATGTTCCATAAACAAGTCATCAGCTTCGGGCACTGGAACTTCTACTGGTGCATTAATGGCCTCTTCAGTCCACGGTGAGTTTTCTTGGGAATCCTTTGGTTCTGAAGGTCTCTCACTGGCATGTCTTGTGGATGCCGGTGCTGATGGTGCTGATTCAGGTTCATACTCACTATCCCCATTATCCCTGGAGTTATTCAGATT